GCCCTGTGTGTCCGTCTCATATAAGGGACACATTATTGGCTATTTGGGTTAGGGATCTCTAATGCAGCAGTTTCCCTCTTGCTTGCTGCATCGCAGTTGATGAGCCACTACTTGAAATATTCCCAAGCTGCCTCTACCATGTCCTTCCATTACCGCTATGTCTGCTGCAGAAATCGCCAATGGTTGCTGGTAACGGAAGCTGCTTCCCTCCGTTACCTCCTTTTAATTGCCTTATAAGATAAGCAGGAGTTACTGTGGACCTATTCTGACCCCTAAGACTATGTTAAAATATTTTTAAAAAAATACATCACTTCATTATTCGTTTCCCAAACACAACCAAATTTTTTATCTTACATACAAATGTCTAGAGAAGAATTCTGCTCAAGAATTACATGTGTATATTATGCTTATTTTCCAATCATTTTTTCTAAATGCCTCTCTTCGTCTCTCCAGCTTAACTCTTATGACACTTCTATTCTCTTATCCACTTAAAATACATCCAAAAGTTAGACACATCAAAGCGTATATCGTTATACCCTCCGCCCCACAGTGGTCCAAGAGTGAATTCTAGGCGCTCAAAAGTCCTATTAATAAATATACAAAAAATATCAAAACAATTATGAATTATTAATTTTAATATGTTTTTTAGACATAATATAAAATTTCAAGGTCATATGTGTACCTAGACGTTTTTTATTGCTATTTAAAGTTCAGTTTTTATAGTTTGGCGGTTATTTTGATTTAAAAAAATAATATTTCGTTACAATTGTTTTACCCTTTGATATTTTTAAAAAAAATGTTTTAATTACATTTTTTTATTTAACTAGTAGATAACCAAAGGAAAAAAATATTTTTTTAAAAAATGTTTTTTTTCAAACTAGTTATGATAGTTTTGAATGAAAAATATCAGATGTTACTTTTTTTAAGAGAGTAGTACTAAAATTTGCCAATTTTTACCCACATAGCAATACATAGGTGTTGTAGAGCAAGTATTCAGGTTTTTAAAAATATTAATTTTTTTTGCGACAGACAAAAATTAATTAGTACACAAGGCAAATTAAAAAGTATGATTTTTCAGTTTAGCGGTTATTTTGTTTTCAGAAAATATTATTTCGCTTACAATTTTTTTACCCTTTGATTTTTAAAAATTTTTTTTTTTAATTTAGTTGTCTACTAGTTAAATTAAAAAATGTAATTAAAAAAAAATCTAAGGGTAAACAAACTGTAAAAAAAAAAAACATGTAAAACATCTGATATTTTTCATTCAAAATTATCATAACTAGTAGTTAGAAAAAAAAATTTTTTTAAAAAAAATTTTTTTTTCCTTTGTTCCTTTAAAAATATCAAAGGGTAAAAAAATTGTAACGAAATATTATTTTTTGAAATCAAAATAACCGCCAAACTATAAAAACTGAACTTTAAATAGCAATAAAAAACGTCCAGGTACACATATGACCTTGACATTTTATATTATGTCTAAGAAACATATTAAAATTAATAATTCATAATTGTTTTGATATTTTTTGCATATTTATTAACAGGACTTTTGAGCGCCTAGAATTCACTCTCGGACCACTGTGCGCCCCCCCCCCCCCCCGTGTGTTGACTTTATTCTGGTTATTTTCTAATTTATTGTTAACATCACCTAAATTGTGGCAAACAAGTGTTCAAATCTAATATGTCACGGTGCCGTAGTCCTAAGTTAAAAAAAAAATCACACAATATCGAATACTCAGAAAAACATTACAATGTCATCATTCCTTTTTCAACATAAACGACGCAGGTATTATTTGTGGGATCTGGTCTATAAGTTACATAGTTTGTCAAAACAAAAATATTTGGCAAATGCGCGCACCCCGAAAACGCTTTTGCTTTTTTCCGTTTTACACAATTTAACGTGTAAATAAAAATTACTTTTTCTCTTTAACCACGCATAGTTATAGTACAGCCTGCCTTTCCGGAAACGCCACAGAAAGCAGATTATTATTTTACTATAAAAGCGCCAAAATAAATATGCTATACTAAATATTTTTTTGGCAATATATATTTTTGTAGAATTTATTTTAAAACGTTTTTAAACTATATATTTACTACCCATTGAAGTGGAAACGATAACATATGTTGAGACTCGATCACTGCTATAATAACAGTGGTTACTTCCAGGCTCGAAAGGGTTTTACCTTGAGCGCAACACTGGTCGAGTAGTCTAATACTATTTATTTGTATGCTTATATTTTAGAGTGCAGATTTTATATTTTGAACAGCACTAATTATTTTCTTAGAATAATTTTACGGAGGACTACCAACGCCAGCAATCATTTTAAAGAGTAAATCCAGAGTTATATTTGATGCAACGCGATATTCAGACAACAAATCCAAAGAATGAGTTATAAGACAAAACAACCCAAAACTATTTACAATAGTACATATTAAAATTAATAAGATAACCTCTAATTTGTTTACAACTAAGAAGAAAATTATGAGTATGTAATTAAACGTACTAAATATTTTAGTTTAGTTATATATTTATATCTATATATAAACGTTTTTTTTTTTCAAATTAAATTTTTCCAAAAACGTCAAATAAGTAAAAATTGTTATCCATCGTAAAGTTTATTATTATAATTAAAATAAATGTTTTCCTTAAATTAACCATTTAATTATATCTAATGATATAATATAATTATAATTATACTCTAATTATTTTTTAACTTACCTAACTTAAGTCGCGAGGGTTACGAGAAAAATTATTTTCCTTTGACAAGTCCACCGGTGTATAATTTTGTATAATTAAACTCTGTCTTGTCTCAGTCTTTATTTGATATAATATTAATAAATTACAGTTTATAATTGTATTATTTATTAGCTGCCGGCCAATGCTAAGTAGTTACACTGTTGTTATATTATAAAATAAAAGCACAGTATTTTAGGACAGAAATTATTTATTAAAGTCTATTTGACAGCTGTTGATATCAATATTTTTATTTAAAAAAACCTGCTTGGTAAGTATACTTATTTCATAGTTATCAAGCATACATAAGCTTTGGTTAAATTATATCTTGCAAGTTGAAATATCTACGTCACTAGTTCTTAGCCAAGAACGTTTCAGACTTATTTGAGTCCCTGGCCACATTTAAGAACTTTTTAGAAAATCTTGTTTTCGATTCACCTTAATTTTTGTCAAGTACCTCAAACAAGAAATGGTACATTTTATTAAAACCGGATCCGAATTAAACATAAACATTTAAAAATATTATTTTGTGTGGTGATTTAAGAGCTGACAATAATCTTAATGTTTTCATTTTTGTATTCGACCAATTTCGACGGCATTGTCTGTTATTTTTCAAAACAATGATAATATACAACTCTGTGTATATAAATTTTTTAAAAAACAACAACTCATAGACAAAAGCGTTCGTCTAACAAACAATAGCCGATGTTTAACGCACTTGGCCGGGACCGAAAAATTAGCGAAGATCTTCAATAGTAATGCACCACCCCCTCGCATAAAATAATTACATTTGGCGCAAACGGGGTAGGGAACCGTGGAAGGGATGTTATAAATGGACTTGTAGGTTTTTCCTTCCCGGGGGTTCCGGTGAAAAAAAGCCTACTATGTATAACGAATTAAGAAAGAACAGTAGGTAATATAAACGTACATAAGTATGCGCACAATAAGACTGCCGCTCAAAAATGAAATAAACTGCATATTTTTATTTTGTCCTCGGTCGTCTTGTTCCAATCGACGGTACAGCGATTTTAAAGTATCTAATTATTATGTGTATTCTAACCGTCACGGGACCGTTGCGTAAGTAAACAGTTATTATTTAATTATTTCTTAAAACATTAAATTACCACCAGAAAATCAACAAAATTAAAGAATCGAGATAAGTCATTATGAATGAATGCAAAATGACCATAATACTAACGCCTTACAATGGTTATCTTAAAAGTTTCTCGCCACATGGTTAAATGAGCCACATTTAATGAACAAAATGAAAATTTTAATAAAACTCCACCGTGAATCCTTTTGGTCGTATCAGATTTTATTATAAAACTATACACTTAATACGTATACACACACTTGATATAATAAAAATTGGTACTTTTTGCTTTCCAGACTACTGTATTATTTTTCATCAAATCTAATTTATACTACTACAATGGAACTTTGAACAATACTATTTTTCTACTATCAGCTTATCCATATAAACTTAATTTCCTTGAAACATATATATTTATTTATTAAGTTATTTACTATTAAAAGACGACGGTTTTTTTTTTTGGTAGAGCTTGTGTATTGACTCAAATAATAAAATATCATAGCTTGTATTTTTCATTATTTAGCAATGAAGTTCAGAGACAATACTCGAAGGCCTACCGAAATGTTGTTTTCAAATGTATTACCAAATGCACAAAAACATCAAAAATATATGCCAGCGGTCTTTGATAATAGTTAGTATTGGTTGTATTTGTAAAAATGTATAATTATAAACACGAATTTTCAAAAAAAATGTTCAACAACAATAAATACAATTTATTAGTGTTAATAAGCTATACTTTTAAGATGTAGCCGAAACATGTTAGTTATATCTACTGTTTGTGGGAAAAACGTGCCTTTTTTTTTATAAAAAGGCACGTTGCCGATATTTTCGTTAAACATATAAATCTCATATGATTTTCCCTCTGGGAGCAGAGAAATTCGCGTCAAGTGTTTAACGATGATTGTGTGCATATTTACTTATTTCACGAGAAGCCGGCATAATAAGAGCACGGGGACTTTGAAACATAGTTTGCGCAAGTAGGTGGCGCGCGCTACTTGGAGTCTAAATGAATCACTTGTTTATAGTCTCGTGTGTTGGGGAGTTTGCCGGCTATCGGGACATAGCACCGCAAACGAATATTCTCATCCGGTTATTGGCCACACAATTCCCAGGAGCACATCAATGCGGTTGTATAATTATTCTCTAGGGTAAGTCGAAAAGTTCGAGATCATATTATTGTATCGCGTTTCGGTTTTGATATTTTTGTATTTTATCAGCCTACTAAAAAAAAAAAAAATAACGACAACGTTCCATTCGCAATAATAATATGTTCGTACAAATCAAATGAACGGTTTGTGCGTTATGTTTATCGCGAGGCTGTGTCGTGGTTTTTACTAAATATTTCGCATTTAAACATTTAAATTACACGGATTTTTTAATTCGAGTTTATAGGACAAAAAGTTTTTTTTAATGATTTTTAACTAAAGAAAAACTTTTTTCGCCGGCAAACTATTCAAACCTACACCTACCGCTGGTAAACTATATACCAACTTGTTATATAATTTAAAAATAAAAAAATACGTACAATATGTTTTTAGTACTACCGTACGCACATAATATAAAACCAAAATTCAGATTTATTCGTTTTTTTAATCTCAGAAAGTCGACAAAATATTAACAATTTGTAGTTACAATTAATGTATAAATCAAATTTGGTATGGGTTTTATCCAAAAATTTATTTAGAAATCAAATAATTTTTAAATAATACTGACAATCAGATTGAATCAACTTTTTGTACGATATTAATTATTTTTAAGAAGCTTATAAACAAATATAGTTTTAAGTGTTAAAATTTTTTAAATATACTAAAAAAAATGTTTTGATTTGGTTACCCTCTGACGCGAATGTATCGGACGTATTCTAAATATTTAATAAGTTGTTATAAAATCATTTAAAAGTAATATCTATAATAGTAGATAACCCGATGCACCTACTTGTTAGAGTTATTTTATATAAAAAGGTAAAACAATTCACTATAAATCAAATTTGTGTTAAGCCTTATAATTAATTAATACGTTTAACTTAAGAAAAAATTAACTTTTAACGTTTTCAGGGAGAATACTTAAGTTTGTTAAATTTTAAAATACTTTTAGCTATTTAACCTTTGATAATTTATTTTAACTAATTATCAAGCTAGATGACATTTATCTACTGACGTTAAACTGTTAATTATAATTGTACGTGGTAAATTCTAGAAGCTCTAACAAGTAACAATAATAAGTAAAATGTTTTAAATGACATAAACATATAAGCATTGATTTATTCATAACGGTGGACATCTGTTATCGGTAAAAACGAAATTTTACTGAATAAAAACTGAATAAAAAAACAACATAGATTTATATCAAGTTTTATTACGAATGTCAAACCCAATTTAATATACTAGTTAAAAATTAAAACGACTATATTATATTGATTTAAAAGTTATGGTGAAATTTGTTTTTGGCACTTCAAGTAATACGCCATTGTGTATCTTCATTCTTAATATATAAACTCGAATACAATTCAATTTCATTCTCGGTAATAACATTCGTTGTTTAGTTATCATTTTTATTTATTTTTTAAATTAATTTATTAAATTAGTGGCAGTGTTGAATTTATTATCTAAAGAGATTTACTGCTTTGCTATATTTCCAGTATTTTCTAACGACTCATTTTATATTTAACAAACAAAAAACAATAAATACATATATTTATACATTTTTCATTATCACTATTTACACTATTACCCTAAAAAACACTTATGTTTTGTGTTTTTTTTTTTAATCATAGATCTTTGAACTTCTTAACCCGAATGTTAACCAAGTGATTTTTCATCCGTGTAAAAGTTTTGAGGGGAAATGTTTCTCACGTTACTTGCCAAATTCAATTTTTCACTCTGTCGTCAATATACTTTATTAAAACATAAAAAAGTGAATAAACTTGTAAAGGTGTATTATGTTTCGTTTCCCAATTACTAACGACAGTTAAAAAATTATTTACAAAATTCCATAAAAATATTTTTAGAAGCATTTCATTATTTCAGGATAATAAAGAAACTAATTTTATATTTTTAATTATTTTGTCCGTTTAATGTTTTTTTATAAGTAAGTTACAATAATAATTTAGTAGTAAAAATATAGTAATGTTCTTATTCCACCCCCCCCCCCCCCAAATAATCGCTAACCCGGGAGAGAACTGTTTGCACAATATTTCATCAAATAATGTTCTTATTAAAACAATTAATTGTTGTTTTTTGTTTTACTCATTAATTATTAATTGATTATAATATAATATGTTATTTGTGTAGCTTAAAGTTATCAAATGAAAATTAACAGTAATCATTCTAATTAGAAGTTTTTTTTAAAAAATAGCTTAAAAAATATATACTGGTAAATTTTCTATTTCAATTTTAAAAGATAAACTTCAATAAAAATTGAACATTTTATAAATCTATAATTAAAAGTTAGGTAAAACTGCGAAACCTTCATACAACAAGATGTCTCCTCGAAGTTATATCCCAAATACGTTTTTTGATAAATAAAAATACATTTTAAAAAATTATTTTTATTTTTACCAGCTATAAAGTTAACAGACTATTGTCAAGTTGACTTAAATATAAAACGAAAAAATCCTTTTAAAAGCCATGTTTTAACGAATACCACACAACCCACAATACAAACAAAAATTGTATAATAAACGTTTCAATTTTTTTTACCATTTTAAAAAATATTTTTAAACTACATTTTGAAGGAAATCGAATTTTGAATAACACAAATGTTTTAAAACAATTTTGATAATCAGAAATTATTACTAAAACATTTTCTGTCAAAATGAAATTAAAAAGTATTTTTATCATTGCTAAGTGGGTAGTTTAAGAATAGTTTTTAAATCGACATAATCTGTATTTAATAGATAAACATAATTTAATGAAAATTAATTAGTTATAATAGTATACTATATGGAAATAGTTTTGTTTTAAATTGTATACACTGCATCAATAAGTAATAAAATTAAGGTATAGGTCCTCTAATATTAATAGTTAGGCTAGTAAAATAGTACCTTACTTAATCTAACAATTTTTTAATTATAACTCTGTGTTAAAACCATTTTTTTTAAACAAATTCAAATAGAAAGAAATACTTAGACAAATATATATAATCTATAAAAACTTAAACTATAAATCGATTTTTGTTTCGACACGATTCGTTTTGCAACCCTTATATTATAGAAATTTCTCAAATTTTGAACGATAATTTCTTGCCTATGTTGGGCGAGTTCTTCATATTCTTGTAAATCAGTTTCGAGCTTAACTAGTGATGTTGGCTTTGTATGATGTACTCCTTTGGACTTCAGGTAGTCTCATAAGGGAAAAAACAGTGAGTCGATAAATCTGGCCAGGTTTCATGGGCCATCAAGCGAAAAACTCAATGGATAATTCGGTCAAGTAATAAAAACAAAACAGTTTTTACTGCGAATAAGCTGCGATTTGCTCTCCGACCAAGTTGATGGTAACAAAATAGCATTTTATGAAAAAATACAAACTTGGATTCCCTTGAAGAGCTTCGATTTAAACCGACCGTTTTTATCATGGTAGCCCCCGCGTACTTGTTAGAAAATTATTTGTATTTTATATTATACGAAATAATGGTAATTAATTTATTATATTATTAATAATAAGATATTTAATTAGATGACACGGCGGACGATAGTTCATCAAAAATTAATAATTTGTTATGACGTTAAAATTCGACTCCTGTGGGCTTGTTCAACCCTCTCTTATTGGTTGTGAAATATTTAACATTATTTAATATCATGTAGTATGCTTAACAACGTCAATTTAGTTTTCTAGAGATTGATTAAGGGACTGCATTCTGCTACTAATTTTTAAAACGAAAACAAATATAAAATCAATTGTTAATTGGTTTTCTAATTAAAGGTAAAAATGTATTTAGTTTTGAACGGTATTGATCAGAACATTGTTTTACTTGTTTCTTAGTTACGCTTACAAATTCTGTAAGAAAACAAGACTGTGTCTTTAAAAAACTTAAAGAATTTCCCCAAACTGAACAATGTGTAGGTACTCCAGAAACTTTTTAAATAATTTTGTATATGATCTGATGAATGAAGTATCCAAACGTTGCGCTTTTATAAAAAAAAAACATCAAAATGTACGAATTTTAAACTTTTTCCTTTAAGCAATAAAGTTTCGAGAGTTAAAAAAAAATCGTAGGAATTAAAATATATTGTTAATTAAAAGCTGATGAATGTATTGGTTAAAAAGGTGAAAAACAAAATACAAAATGTAAGTATAGGAGTGTCTTGTTACCAGCACAATATAGAATATTTTGAAAAATTATCCACCTAGGAATGTCAAGAAATATTGGCCTTTAAGTATTTAACAAACGCAAATGAGTTCGCCTACACTAATCCTGACCATAATTTGTTTCTCTACCCGAACCCGTCCCTGTTTTTTACCCCAAAAGCCTCGGTTTTTAAATTTGTAATAACCCTTCTTATTTGTTTAGTTATTTCTTCTCTTTCAATAGCCCATTTAAGAAACGCAAAAAGTAGATTCGCATGATTTTGGCTCATTAACTTAATACCTACCGTTAATTGATGAATTAAATAAAAAAACAATAACAAAAAATAATTTTAAAAATAATAAAAGTAAAATAGTTAAGTGTAACAAAAAATGTGGTGCTTATGGCACAAATGAGTATAAATTAATTTTAAAAAAACAAACCTTAAAAATATTCATTAGAACAAAAGTTATTTCATTTGTCATATATATATATATATACATATATAATATTCTGTTCTTTTTATTTTTCGAATTCGATGCGGTCTTTTTAGCAATTATTAGTTTAGGCAACCTTTAGACCCTATTATATTTTAAACCTTGCGGTTTATTATTGACTGTTTATTATCGTTATATTTGCCGCAACGGTAAATATTTGTCGAATTACTTCAGTGAGATAAATATAGTTTCGAATTCTACATAACTGCGTAATAGTTTAAAATATTTATTTAAAAATAAATTAGGTAGGAGGGGAGGGAAAGGAGGGTAAAATAATATACCCACCCTCCACGCAACGGTAAACAGAAACATCTCATTGTAATCAACATTAATTATTATCACCATAATAAGCTGTTATAATATATACTCTCTATTGATATATGTAAATAGTACAATCGTGATTGTGTAAATACATTTTTTGATGGTCGGTGACTTAAAAGCGATTAATGAACTTAAATATTTTTGGACGCCTGGGAATAGCCAATAGTTATGAAGAATAGTATGAATAATATCAAAGTGCAATAATAATTCCTAACATAAATTCCCCTATATTAATACACTCATCGTTAACGGATGTATAAAAGTCGACCAGAATTTTACACTCGAATAAAATTAACAATCCATCACCTTGGTGAGAATCAGCTGAATTTGAAATGTTACATCTACAGTAAAATTGTTGTTAATTAACTGCGTTAAAATAATTTTGCGCTAGACATTATAAGACTGTATTTTTCCCCATTTGTGTTTCATTCAATCGAACAATTTAAAAACCAATATTTTTCAATACATTTAAACTAATCAATCAAAACATTGTGATTAATGGTTTTTAAATGTTTTTTCTCGTAAATAGATAATATTATTTCTTTATGTCCAAACTAATGGTTTTATCATTATTTTATTGGTCAACACCTTTCTTCGAGGTGGTTCTTAGCATCAATTTCGCCACGGATTTTTTTAACGTCCCCTCCCACCCCGTCTACACAACATATTTCAGGGTAAATAATTAAGAATAATACACTCGTTTTCTCTTAAAATCGTGGACATTTTGTAGGTTGTCTTTTTGGAGACACTTTAGTTTATGTTATTTTAAAATATTACATGATATTCAAAATTTTTTTTTTTTTATCCAGAGCTCATCAACTTTTAAAATTGAAAAATGGTAACGTATATATTCAATTAACTTATTTTTTAATTGATTATATTACTTACACTTACTTATACTTTTGTTAAATATTAAAAGGGCGCCGCACCGGTGATTTTCAGTGGTAAAAACATGTTTGAGAAGACTGAAAATAACTCGCTTGATTTTGGTTTTATAGTCAAAACACCCATTATAAAATTAAAAGAGAACAATATTCCGGAGGGCAAGACGGTTTAAAAAAAAAATTCATTTTTTGAAAAGTTACAGTCATTTAAAAATGTTGAAAATAGTCGTTATTTCTAAACTATGTATTGAGCGTTATACTTAGGAATATTGTTCTCTTTTAATTTTATAATGAGTGCTTTTAATCTAAAACCAAAATTAAGCGAGTTATTTTCAGTCTGCTTAAACATGTAGAGATGAAAAAACATTTTTAAATCGCTTTCAAGGATGCGCTGTGATAGTCCAAAAAATAAGTTAACTACCAAAATAGAGTCCTAGTTATTGAACTAATAATTACACCATTACAGTTAAACATTCAAATTAAGATTTTGTAAAAAAATTGCCTATACTTTACTCCTTAAAAATGGGCAGTGCGACGCCCTCTTAATTATAATAATAGTCTGTTGGAAATTTTCACTGATCGATATTTGAGTGTAGTAATTAATTTTTATCTGTGCGCAATACTCTACCGCACTCAACCTACCATTCTAAATTTTAATTATTTATAACTTTAATTATCTAAAAGTGGTTATCGATTAGAGTAGTAACACTTTCGGCGTTACCGTTTTTAAATGTCGACAATCGTTGGAACTATGGAAGAAAATAAAAAATATAAAAATTTGAATTACATTTTCTAACATCATAATGTAAACAAGTGTTTTTGAAAAAGAAAAACCACAAAATTGCAATTATTTTCAGAAAAAATTAGCGTCTCGTCCGCGACGGATGGCCCTGTACAATATTGGTCACTCGAAAGTGACTATACTTATGTACTCTATGTACTTTTAAATTGAACAGTCTCTCATCCGTAACGTGTGATCGCGAGGGTAAGATAGGGTGTTGGGGTGGGGGTGGGGGGGTGTTTTGAGTTGTGCGTTCATATATATTATGGTTCTCGCCTAACCGTATTGTATCAGCTGCAATTTATGTGCTCTGTTTGTGTTCGACAGGTGAACGTGTTGATCAACAAGTCGAGCGCCATTATGATTATTTGGAACGCGATCGGTTTAATGTGTATATCGTGTTTGGTGGCGTCTTGCGAACCGGCATTGCACAAACCCGTGGACCCGTTGACGTTGCTCAGGTACGAAAAACGGGCCGAAGAACAACAACAACAACAGCAATCGTCGGGCGACGACAAAAATCCGCCTGTCGAGTTCGACGAATATCCGGTTAGCTGTTTTTATTTATATACTTTTTTACTTTTTTTTTTTTTAACGCGTCACCGTTTATATTTATGACCGGTCTCGTCCGATTCGAGACGGTACGAATTCGCCCATATAGTGTCGGTAAAACGTTTTGTTTATTAACGCCAACACGGCCCATGGGGTCCGGGCACCACCACTATAGCGCGCCTTTAATGAAACGCCCCATTCGGAAATTTTATTACTCTTGTCGTTCCGGTGATTTTAGACGGACTGCTGGACAACAGAGCACTTAACCGTAAATTGCCGAGAAAACATTTTTTTTTTTTTAACACCGCGCCCACAATGCGGCCAATTATCAACAACAACTCTCGTTTTTTTAACGCGGTTCGGTTTAGTTTTGAGTAATTTTTTATATACCTGTTAGCCAAAATTTGTTTGGTACCCCTTGTAAAAAAACACAAGAGAATAGTTTCAAGTTTGGATTTTATAATACTAGAGTTTCCGAATAAAAATTAGACGAGTAAATACAGGTTCGGGCTAAGAGAGGGTAGCGTAGAGAGGTGTCGCCAAAGTTCATAAATTTCAAAAGCCCATAAAAAAAAAAAAACCTAAATTTTCAACGATAAGTGTTTTATTTAAAAAAAATCGTAGTTTTGGTCTAAAAAGGAAATTATGAATTGTAAGCAAAACATTAGACCGCTAAACACGATATTATTAAAACACCATTTATAAAATTGTATGAACAATTTCTGGAAAAAAAATTAGTTTTTTTTTTTTGAAAAATTTGACCCACAATTATATGATCTTTTTATCCGCTGGTCCGTTTTTTTCATACATAACAAGTTTATAGACGAAACATTTTATACGAAAAGTACAAAAATTGAAAAAATCTGTCTCATTTGCCTTCAAAAATCGAGAAAGACCGCCTTAAATCGAATCTTTCTCGAAGTAGAGATTGAGAGACTTTCTTAAATTCTCATTTTTAGTGACTTAGGATCTTAAGCAGATCTATAGTGTGTTAAATATAGAATACTTTCTCAGATTCGAATCAAAGTAAAAAAATTAAATATCTGTTTTTAAAACTTTTTGAAGTAAACCCAAATAACACATTACACCGATTTACACTGTATTCATATTCAATACTGGTTCACATTGGATTCGTATCGAAATATATATATTTTTTTTCTAATGACACTATTGTACCAAGTAAACATGTGAAAATTCCAAGTATGGCAATCACAAACTGTGTTCTATTTTATTTTACTTGACCTTCGACGGTTAAATCCGAGCTGTACGCCGTTGTAAGTGCAAAGAAAACGGAACAGACTACGATTGACAAATAAGTTACATAAATAAACGAAAACCCTCACCACTATCGCAATGACTGCTGGTTAGTGTTCCTCCGGAATCCCCTGGATGAATTATTCAAGTTTAACGCGATACCGAGATTATATATATATATATATATAGTTTTATATATTTGTTTCCTATTTAAATTTATTGAAATATGTATGCCTGTTCGGATGAATAGGTTAACACGCGGATTGACCGCGTAAAGAAGCTATACCCGTGTACAGTTCACAGCGTACTACTACAAATGGGTTAAATTTTTTTTTAAAAAAAACACACACATAAATATGATACCGTCTGTTCGAATCAATCGTCGAGTCTCGTCAGGATTTCGGATTATAATTTTAAGACATTTTTCCCAGGTAGTCGTCCCGAAGAGAACAGCGCTGTTGCTGGATAGACTGATGGTGGCATTGCAAAAAGCGGTCGACGGGAACGCGTCTGGCAATATGAAAGGATATTACCCCGAACGAACGATTCCGATAATTAGCGGCGGAGCCACTAGACCTAACCCCGGTGTGAGTATCATCGTCGTTATTATTAAAATAAGTATAAAACGCATCTTAATAGCATAACTAAACGACTTTTCAGTGTTCGACGTTAGATGTATCTATACATTTCTTTTTTTTTTTAATCGTTCTGAACAAAAACAAAACCCTGTGCGTAATTTTTTTTTTTTTATAACAGATAACTTTTATAGTTTGTACACATAAAATATGCATATAATAACTTTAATTAAAATTTCCAGAAGACGGATTTTATACGCTTAAAAAAATTATGGTACGCTTTTATTATATGTACAGCTTGTCCCGTGAGGTTTTAACTAATTGGAAAATATTTCTCGGGAAAATGGCAATTTGGAAATATGGAAAATGGCGATTTTGTAATTCTGTTTTTCCCCCCGAAATCATTTATTAGATACATGCTACATTTGCTGAAAATAGCTTATAGATGATAATTTGAAAAAGAAAAATAACAATAATAATATTGTTATCATCGATGTTATGTTATTATCAAATTGTTTAGTTTTTTATAGCTAAAATTTAGACATTTTTTATGGTTTTATACTATTTTTATGATTTTTTTGTTCTTTTGTTTAATAATAACCACACATATTTTGAACAACAAAAATGTGATGAAATAGTATTAAAAAAATAATGAAAAGTCGTTGTCAATTCTATTAGAAGCAAAAAAAAACATCCTGTACTACCTACAAACTGTAACATTTGCCTATGCATTTAACTTAAATTGATGTATGTATATTGTATGAATTGTCTAATTAAAACTAGGCTTTAATTATTAACCATAAATCGTAGAAACCGTTTTAACAGGTTATCCAGTACGGAAAATAAACACCTAATAGAAGCGACATAGAATAAATGATTGACGACTTAATAGAACAAACACTCAAATGATTTCGGTTTGAAGTGAAGTCTTTTTAAAACCGAATTATTCAACTTCGAACAATGCATCTGTGGCAAAAAAAAAATCCATCTGCTACCTTCCTTAAACACATCACAGCGTACTCGAAATGAATTGCCGTTCGATCAATTTAAATATGCCAACGCAAGAATTATATTTTCTTAAATCCATCGCATAAACGAGGTGAAATCAGTCGTTTGGGTTTTCCCCTTTTGTACATGCATCGTTTCGTTTGTCAGGCGTTTGAGGTATGCAATTTCGGTACATACTCGCGTGCGTGGCTATACTATGAGTGTATCAAACGGGTTCGAGGATTAAAATAATAATAATAGTAATAATTGATCATGTACATATACATCCTACTAAAAACCAACATTGATATTCGTCTCATCTGGTAACTAATTAGTAGCAGCAACAGCAGCGGCGGCTCGAGTACAGATAATTGTAAATACAGGTAATGGCAAACTATTAATTGTTTTAAGCCGACGCCGAATTAATGTATTCGTCGTACGCCGGCGGATTTACATATAATATTAACAACAATAAACGTCGGAGTGTATTTTTTTATGGACTTGAAGAATATCTATGAGACTTTAATAATATCATACTTAATCGTCGGTCGATACGTCAAATCGGATAATACGTTATGGTACGTAGTGTACCTGTTTGGCGTCATTACTAAACACTCGTACGGTTTGCCCGGGATTAACTGTATGTGAGCCAACACACATTAGTGGAAAATAATGATCATGCGCCATAATTGATGACACGCACGAATAATAGTTACAAGATTTGCCATTTTGCAGTCAACATGACGCAAAACGATTATTGTGTCACACGGGCTACACGACATATTGTGCAGAAAAACAATTCCGTGATCGTCTGCCTGGCAGTTGTTGATGGACGCACAAAAACAACAAGGTGCAATTGATAGCTTTCCGTTTGTAAAATTGTAAATTTTTAATGCAATTACAAATGTTAATATCTAAATTAGATTGTTCAATGGTTTCCTCGGTAAAGGTACAAAGCGCAGAACACATTTATGGTTGGTTGGGGTCCCACCACCAATTTGACGATACAATAGATATTTGTTATTTATTTATAAACAAAACTTAAAACCTACCCGTCCTACCTAATATAATTGGCCAGAGTTGCGAAAAATCAGGATTTCCAAAATACCAAACCTTACACTTAATTATAGGATTTTTAAACTAAAATAAATTGTTTATGGTTAATAAATCGACATACGCCATATTAATAATCACCGTATTATATAGCTGTTAAATTTCACATAATATTATGTATGTATGTATGTATATTGTTAAAAATTGTATTTGAAAACAAAATGAGTACGAACGATTTTTTTTAAATTTCAGTTCTACTTTACGATAATAAACCGTTTAATACCGTTTTTGTTTTCAGATGGAATTGCAGAGACGAAATCAACAGAAAGGACGACTATACTGGAGGTGTTATTTTAACGCAGTGTCCTGTTTTAAAAAGAAGAAATAATAATAAACTACTCTGAACATGATATTTTGTTTTTATTAAATCAATTGAAAATATTAGATATTATTACAAAATCTATACGTGAAAAGTTTTTTTCCACGTATATCGCTTAAAAATCATTATAGGAATAGACCTTATACTATATACTACTGTATAGGACTTAAACTGCTGTTCTAAAATGGGAAATGTAATGGTAAAACTGTCAAAAAAAAAAAAAAAGAAATGTATAACCATTGATACTGCGGTCTCGAAATATAATATTGGTTTCACATGATTTGTTTTTATTCCATTAAAAACCCCGATACGTAATCGTGAGACATTTTTCTTTGTTCGATGCTTTAAGAAACTCAATTTACACTGGTTTTTCGGTAAATAATATACAAAAATTTTAAAAAATGAGATGAATATCTAAGTATGTAAAATTAAAACACCCTGCGGTTTTCTATAATAAAACTGTAACTATTTGATTAACGAATATTCCTACTTCATATATATACACTAATATTATATATACATTTTTTTTTTAATAAGAAAGACTTCAATTACAAAGATTATTAGCTAACTAATGATTATTATACATAATATTTTTATTACGCATTACTTTTTAATTTAGTAGCTAAAAAACGTTCCACTAAATGGTGGTTAAAAAAATGGCCAATGTTTAAATTAATATACAAATTTCAAAAACAATATTCAAAATTCAATTTTGAGAAATCCCTGCCTTAAACCAAATCCATAATAAACTACTTTGTTAAAAAATATTAAAACACAAACTTGTATTACAAAAATTATTCAAATTTTATCCGACCAATACTTCTGTCATTATCTACATATATAATATATCGATTTTCGCATTTCATTTAAAACCATTTGGTTTATTACAAGAAGGACATATTTTTAAAGCCTAGTATCAAGTATTCGAAAGAATATTTTGAACTGTGGTTCCGCACAAGAAAATATTGTATACAACTCAAAAGCAAATGACATTATGGTTCGAGGGGGATTATTTTCGTTTACAACGTTTTGATGGAAATACATATATTTGTTATGTTTAAAAAAAAACTCAGAAATATTACGAGCGAAAAAATAAATGGAAATTATATCAACAACCGTGATATATACATACATAATTTGTAAGTTATTTTTATATATATGAAAATTATACCCATAAATATTTATAGGAAATTGTTTTATTATCAAGTTAACAACAATTGAACACTACCGCCATGTCACGGCGAAAAATAACAAAACAATTGTATGATATTTTTAAAATGTAATTTACTTAAATTTTTACTAGAGAAAATGTTTAAATTAAATTAAACAATTTAAAAATAACCACTTAAAAAATTATCGTGTGAAATGGTTGTGTACAATAAATAAATTACAATAATATTCCTTTCTTACCAATAAACATAGGATGGAATTCGGGTTTAATAACCTTCTCATTTTTCTAGTAAACTAATATGTTGCTTATACCGCCTAGACTGGTTCAAAAATCAATTTTATTCGTTTTTAACTTTCACGTCAAATTCTATAGACACGTAGCAATCAATAGCCTTCTTCAATGAATCAATTACTTTAGAAACCATATTTGTAGGTCCTTCGACAGTGATCTTGTTGTCATCAGAAAACTCAACATGGACCTTAAAAATAGTTTAAATAAAGTATGCATTTGAATAGGAATTATATGTGCAAGTACTTTTTCATTATCTTCAATCAATTCCCTTAAGTTTGAACCATTTTTGCCAATTAAAAACCTGTACATCCATCTTGGGCACTCAATTGCTTCCGAAGTCATACTATTGGCTTTTTCATACAACTTAGTTAATCCTTAAAAAAATATATATTAATGATTATTGTGGATACAGCCCTTTTGTACTACATTCATATATTTAATTTAAAATAAAATAATTTACCAGTGCCCAAATCCTTGTAAAGGCCTCTCAAGGTAACGGTCTCCATGTCAGAATCTCTTGGGGGCATTTCAACACTGACGTTTGTTTCCAATAATATATCTTGAATTCCACTTCTTTTTTGTGCCATTAAATACTTGTGTTTTTGTTTTGGTATTTCCACGAAAACTGTTTCAGATTCTTTTTCCTGAAGATTTCAAATAGGTACTTACTTGTATAGTTATTATTTAATTTAATTTTAATTAATTTATCAAGTTTAAAATTTAGGACTTTTTGTTTAAGCCGATGTAAACATTCTATTTGTAGCCTAATTGTACACACGACCTTTTCAAATGTTTAGTGCGACGTCATTCAATTAGGGCAAGTTGGGACAGTACAAACTAATAATTGAATCACCACAGGTCTACAAGGTATTTTTCCTTTATTGCCATTATAAAATGCATACCATTTTTTCATAAATTTGTTTAATCTTCTCGATAGCCAGTTGTACTCCTTCCTTGTCACCCGCAATCGTTATTTCATCACTAGCCACAAATGGTGGTGGAACGTGGACCTTGACACCTGTTTCTTTCATTAAATTGTTGAGATTTTCATTATGTCCTCCAGTAATGAACGGATGGTAAATCTTTGGAATTTCAATTCTCTCAAATGCTTTCTTAGACTGTTTTAAAAACATGATTTTCAAAATTTGTGACTACAAACATTTTTATGAAATACTTATAAAAGATTTGATAAAATAACTAACTAACCAACTCATCTGAAATCATTAGAATTTCCTGAACAGCTTTTTCAACAGCATCTCGTTTTCCAGTAACATTTATAATATCAGATGTGTCTTGAAAACTTGGCTTCTGAATACGTGCACCAGTTCGTTGTTCAATCTCCTTACGGCGAGCTCCATGTTTGCCCATCACATGACCACGATGCTCCTTTGGTACTGGCACTGCACTAGTAGCCTAGACAAAATATTATTCAAATATAATATTCTATAATGAAAAAATAAATAAATATCAAAAAACATAAAATAATAATTAAACTATTATTACATGTACCGTAAAAATGAAAATATAAAGTATACATTTAAAAAGGAATAATATGTAAAAATACTTTTTTAAAATTTCCTTTTATCAGTTTCCTAAATTTTAATCCGGGAAACGTGATTTGTACATTGCATTGTTCTTGCGGTTCACAAACTTTTTCTCCCTTTGCACCAATTTTGGCTGGATGATGACGTTGATCGATGGTTATTTCTTTTTCAACTTCTTTTACCAATTTGCGAACAATACCTTGTAATACCTTGTTATCAAAGTAAGAAGAAAATATCAAATTAGTAGAATGCCTTAACTATCTCGTATCGTGGTCGGTCGGTAGTCGGTCAGTTGTTTGGTCGGTCAGTTTCGGAGAAAAGTCTAATATTTATATCATCTCACTTATGAATTGCATAAAGATAAATTTGTGTATAATTTTTAAACATACTATTACATTACATTTTAGCTTCGGTACGGAGCTGAGAAGGTAGTATTGTTATTACAATGATACCGCTGAACCGATTTCTTCGTGTAGCAACTCTATAGATCAGAAATCATTAGAAGGTACTTTAATGGGCCAAAATTTTTAAAAAGTCACCCCTTCCCCATCAAAATCGAGAAAAACACCCAAAAATTTACAAATTTTTCAACTTAAAATTACGATGCTCTAACTTTTTTAAAAATAGTCGAAAAAGGTCCAAATTTATATAAATTGTTCTTCAAATATAGTACTATGATAAACATTAACAAACCAAAAAAATATCATAAACCTTTTCCCCTAGAAGGGATAGAATTTTTTTCTTTATTTCACTTTTTCCAGCAAAGTTTTAGAGATTTAGATTTGAAAATTAGACCGAACGTAGATTTAAAATGGAACTATACAATTTTCTCAAAAATCTGTAGTCAATTTTTTTTTTTTTTTAAGGAAAAACACCAAAAATAGGGTAAATTTACACTTTGGCCGTAGTCAGTTTCTAATTCTAGGTTGCTAGTGTGAGTGATTCAACAGTCAACAGGTAATGAATAAACTGGCTTTTTGTTATTTAGTAATTTCAGAAGAAAAAAATGAATATTAAAAAAAAAAACAGAAACAAAAATAACAATATAACTACTACTGGCTGACAACACAAAATTCATAACAGAACGAATAAGACACGGTGCGTTAATAATATCAACACATAAATAGGTGTGCCCACTGCCCAATGTTGAAAAACATTTTAATTTCAATGCTTATGTGAACAGTTTACAATATATTTTTATAATATAAAAAATAAAAAGTTGCACGAAGTTGGGTTAGAGAGCGCTTTGATTTCATAACATTTTGTTGACTGAGTTCCTATAGCAATCACACGGGTAAAGTATACATTCCCATGTAAAACTTGAACAGCATATAAAACCGAAAAATGGTGTGAAATAAAAAAATCGTGACTGCCTTAAAAAAGAACGGCCATCCTAAAATATAAATAATATTTACTTTAATAATTGTTTTACACATTTGTCTTGGCTGAGCGGCTGCTGATGGTTTTGCATTGAACTCTCGATACTATTGTTCAAAATCAAAGCACAAAAAAGGTTGAATCTTTTTGGGATATTATCTACTACTTTTTTTTGTCGACATTGTAACAGTTATTTTCTAATTAGAGGTAGTTCCTATGATTTCATTAAATCCTATTGTGCAGTACACTTTAGTGCCCAAAGGCAATAGTTTTGCCAGATACTAATTCAAGCGCATTATAGTTTGTTAGATTAGGAGATATGTAGGATTTAAGCAATGTGACGATTTAAAAAAAAAAACAAGAAATATTAATAATAACTATAAATAGCAAATTTATTAATATTCAACCCTGAACATTATTTTTTATTATTATTTTATACAGTTTCCAAAGTACATTATATACCGAGTTTGCACACAAAGAAAAAGGTAGAAAACCAATATGTATACAGAACATTTGGATGGTGAAATTAATAATTACGTCGACCTATAATCCTTTTCTAAATAACTCATACATTACATATAAAATAGATCTAAATATGGTCAAAAATAATTTAATGTAACATACAACAAATGACAAATCCGAGGTAAGTGATAATACGTTAATGGTTTTAAATCAGGTTAAAAAAAAAACCTAAATAAAATACTTAAAATCAAGATAACTCGATTTATATCAGTTTCAACAATTTTTTTTTCATGTTTTAGTACATTTTTTTTTTTTTAACATTTAAGTATTTTTATACAAAATACAAATTGAACAATTTTAACTAACAAAAATTATTCAAAATTAAATTTTTCTGAGCAGTCTAAGAGTGGGAAACTGGTAACTGTACGCTTTTATTAAGTAATTACTTGATTAAAAAAAAAAATAATAACGATATTAGTAATGTTATTATTGTTGCGAGTTCCCTGAATTTACTATATTAAATACTAAATCTCTATTTAAAAGAAGAACAAATACAAAATATCATAGACCGTAGATTAAAAAAAGTGTTCATTCATAAAATTACCTGGAGGGCCATCGTTTCGAAATTATTAACAAATAAGTCGATTTTTACATGCCATTGTCTGCAGAGGCCTGAGATTACCAAGAGAAAAATATATAAATATTTATAAAAATTAAAAAAAAATTGAATTATTAAAATTGTATAAAATATTAATAAAAAAAATGAATAGAAAACAAAAAGAATAAGATAAAAAAAAAAAGATAAAACAGACAATTAACAAATATTTTTGAACCAAGTAATATTAACTTTACAAAACTCTTTATTTTCAGGCCTCTTTTCCATTTTTTTTATACATTTATTGCGCAAATATGTATATAAAAAGAGAAAAACATAAAAAATTATTCAAATTTTAGCAAAAAAAAAAATATTTAGTAATCACTTTTATAAATACGGAAACTTTTTGTTAAACAAAAAAAAATATTTAATTTTTTTGTTTTTAAACAAATAATTTTAACACTACAAACAAAGCATATAACAAATATGTTAACATTTTTTTTTTTTTAGGCTTAATAATAAATCATTAATATATGATACACCATATATTATATTACTAAAATATTTCCACTTTTTATGTTTAATAATAATTTGTTAAAAAAAGAACATAGCGGACACAAGAAAAAATGAGACCCCCAAAATGGTTACAATCTATAATTTTTTTTTTTTACAGCATATTTTTCTTCACAGCCCGGAAAATATAGATGTTTTCCATCTAATGTTTCAAAATCTCTTAAATATATAAATATATATATGTATGTATATATTTATTTATACTTAGACTATTATAGTTGTATACATATAAATAAATATATACACATATATGTATATAAATACATATTAATTAATGATAACTATTTAGTATTTATTATTTAATATAACATTTTTTAAAAACATTAATCTATTCTTAAAATATATATATATATATAGTTGTAATTTTTTTTTTTTTTAATGAAGAAGAAGAATAATAGTTGCAACTTAGTGGCATCCAGACACTATAAAAATGTATTGTTTTATAAAATATCAAAAAAATTTATAATTGGAAACAATAATTATATAAATGAATTGAAAATATAACTAGCGACGCCCATTTCCCCAACTAGGCGCTGAAGATTTATCAGACCCAGCATTGTTGGCGATCCCAGCAAACGACGGAAAGTCTCTAGTACTATTTGTGTCGGGGTGAGCTTTTTCCCACGGTGCTCCATTACCCATGACGAATCCGGGGCCGCCACCTTGGGATTTATGGTTAGACGTACCATTAGGGACAGATTTATCAGCCTTAGGCTTCAAATTTGCACGTGCTTCGTTTTCTAAGAAGTCGGCCAACTATATAAAAGTAAAAATTATTAAAACATAAATACTGATTGTCTGGTGTATCCTTGTTTAACAAGATACTCTCTTATTGTGTCAACTATTTTAAATTACTACTAGAAATTTGTATAAAACAGATTTTATTTTCCAATCGATATTATTAAGAATACTATAATTTAAAATAAACAATTGCAACGTAAAGTATAATTATTTATATCTTAATTTTTTTTTCAGATTTAATAAATAATTATTTAATTTTTAAGTAATTAACTATGAATTAAAAAAATATATTAACTTTTAGGGTTGTTGTAGTATAAAAGATAGAAAAGATAAAATAAAGTGATAACTGGCCAAATGGACCGGAGTCTACTTTCATCAACTTTGTTTGTTGTAACAACTAACAATTTGTAAAATTACCAAGGACGTTACTGAAGAAATTAATTAAATCCATTTTTCTGGTTATTACAATATAAGCCGAAGATTCTGGATTCTGTTTTATTATTTTATTTTTCTGAAACCAGTTATTTTTGAGAATTAAAAAAAAACTTACGTAATCTTGTGTTATCATTTCCAAATGATCAACACAGTCCAGGACATCGTCTTGTGTTGCGTCATCACGTGCATAAACAGTGACTAAATCTGGGTTGCTACTGTCTGATTTTGCAAATCTGATATCGACATGGAATTGGTCCATCAATTGTGAAATATTACGTCCGCGGAAACCTATTAATCTCGAATGCACTCTACTGTCAATGTAAACATCTTCTTTGTAAACGTTTTTCTGTAAAAATGTTATTTTTTTTTTTAAATTTAAAATCAACTTCATAACTCAAAAGTGACATTCATAACAAACAAATGGATAACAAAGGGAACTTACAAGTTTATCGACCATTTCTTGAATTTCGTCTCTTGCTTGTTCAGCACTCTCCTTATAACCGACGACTGTTACAATATTTTCGTTGTTACCTTCACCCCGCCTCGGGAGATTTACTTGAACGCCATACTTGTTACGTAAATTACGAACTGTTTCTCCTTTCTTACCTATAATCATTGGATGGAACTCAGGTTCGATAACCATCTGAAAAATATAAATATGTTGCTTACACATAGATACATGACTTATAGGCATATAGATATGATATTAAATTCATAAAACCACCTAGAAAAAACCTTAACAACACTTGTGGTGTATATATAATATATACATATATTATAAAACAATTAAATATTTAATTATTTTATCATACAAATTATATTTGATATTTTGATGATGTGATCGACAAAACACACAATAAAATTACTTATTGTGAACAATTAAAGCGTAAATAATAACTTGAGAAAACAATTTTTAAAAGGAAAAAATTATAAAGATTCAAACTTTTAAAGTTATTTATTTTATAATAAAACAACTTTGTTAAAAGTAATCAATGCATGATACTATCTTTGGCCTAATAATTGAACTTAGTATTTTAATTCTGTTTCCTATACCTGAATTTCATATGAACGTAGTTGCCTATCTTCTTTATCAGCATCGTATAATCTCATTTCTTCTTGAATAGCGGCCACAACCTCGTCAATGTCTTTTTGTACCCCGGTAATCTAAATAAACATTGGTAGTAATGTTAATATATTTAATTATATATATATATATTTGTAATTAACTACTCCAAACACATAAAAAAACAACAAAAGAATGATAAATCACCTATTATGATTTTTTAAATGAAAATGTAAAATGTACTCGAAAAAATAATAAATTTAAGTTGTAATGAATACTGTCATAAAAAAATTGATATATTATAATTCTATGCAATTTTTAAAATATATTTTTTTTAAACATTGTACAAATGTGATAAATTGTCTTTATAAGTTAGTAAGTTTAAAATAAAAAAATGCATTTTTATTATAATTTACATCTTAATTACAGAAACAAAAAAAAAACATGATATTTATTATAATAAATGTAATGTGTTTTATATAACTGTCAAAAATACTAGTAATTATGTTACATTCCTACACGAAAGTAGTTATGAGAAGTAAATAAAAAACAATTACCTTAATAATATCAGCATTCTGCTCCTGATTTGGAACTTTAATTTGAACATTGTAGTCTTCACTAAGTTTTTTGATTGTAGCTCCCTTAGTACCAATCAGTGTTCTATGATACTCGGCTGGTACGTTCAACTGAAAAATAATTATTAGATTTAATCATTAAGTAAAAAGGCGTAATCTAATCTATTTAATAACTTTTATATTTCACTTGACTCACATCAATTGATTTAGGTATGTTGTCAATTAAAGTCTTTTTAGCTTTTTCACAGTTATCAGGTTTTCCAAAAATCGTAACTACGTCATTAATGCTCGGTGCTCGATTCTCGTCTTCTTCCCCATTTATATCTTCCTGTTCACGGTTATATTGGTCTTCTGTTAACAATACGAATAATAATGAAAAAAACTATACTAATCAAATTCTTATTTAAAACGCAAATATTATTTATTTCCATATACACGACTAACATCTATAGACATTAAAAAGTGCGCAGCGAGGTCATAAGTCTAAGAAAAAAGCACTGCAATAAAAATAATATCGAAAGAGGAAAACTAAGAAGATGTAATTACAACAAATGACATTATTAATTACATGACTTAGTATCAATAATGCTTTTTGTTGTTATTTTGAAAACAACAAAGCTAAACTACTACTGATTGAACTTATTGGCAAATGGGAAGTTGCTAAACAATGCTTCCAAGACCCGTTTCACACCTGATGCGTTATGGTGCACTTTTTCATACACTACAAATATGGGAACAACGAGCCCTCTATATGGATCATAACAAACACACATTTTAAAACAGGGTGCGTATATCATGCACATAAAATATCTGGTATGTTATATACCCGAATAACATATTTTTATACATATGATATAAAAACACGTGTGCTGGTGTCAAACACAGGCCTAACTCAATATAAAGCGTATTTACCTGATGGTCTATCGGGGAACTTGATCCAGACATCTAAGTCTCTTCTTAAACCTTCTAATAAATCTCGATTCCTCATTAATATTCTGTGTATTCTTTGTGGTATGATAACTTCAAGCGTAACACGTTGTTCCTAAAAGAAAATTACAAAATTACTCAGATAAAAAAACAATTTAAAAAAAAAAATGTTTTGTATTTGTATATACTACGCATTAAGTTAAAAAAACAAATTACCAAATCAACAACAATATCGTTTATCTTCTTTTTCACTTTTTCCACGTAATCTTTGTGTCCTCTAATCAGTACTTCGCTGGAGTTTGAGTTAACTTGAGGGAAAGTTACAGTGACACCGTTATATTCAGTACTTATCTGATTGATTACTTCAGCACGGCGAGCAACAAAGTGTCGATGATGTTTTGGAGGAACCTCCATTGTAATTTCAATAATATTTTCCTAAAATTAAAAACAACAATGTCAGTAACTTACAAACAAATTTGATTGTTCTTTTAAACATAAAATTAATTTATCTTTACCAAATCTTTAACAATTTCTTCTATTTTTCGTTTTGCCTCTTCGGTGTTACTTTTATCTCCTTTAATAATGACAATGCTATCGTTTGTTGCCACTTTAGGGAATGTTATGGATACTCCATTACAATCGTCGATGATGCGATTAATGATTTCACCGCGTCTTGCAACAAAGTGACGATGATACTTTGGATCAACATTAACTTCAACTTGAACAGTATTTTCCTGAAATATTTTCATAATTAATTTCATAGTAAAGGAAAAGATAATCATCAAAACCATGCTACAAATATTTAAAATTCATTTAAACAGTTATGAAAGAAATCTTAAATAAGAAATATCAAATTAAAAAAAAAAAAAAGATTAAATAATATTGAATTCATACCAAAACTTTGGCTTGATCCAATAACTTTTGTTTTGCAAGAGCAACATTAGCTTTGCTTCCTTTAAGTATGACTTTATCGCCGGCGCCAGGTTTAGGGAATGAAATTTTCACACCACCGCATTCTTCTTCAAGTTTATGCAAAAACTCGCCTCGCTTGGCCACAAAACTCTTATGGTATTTTTCATTTATTTCAACACGGTCTTCAACAACATTACTAATATCAACAATCATGGCTTCCAATTCCAGTTTGGCCTTTTCCACATTTTCTTTCTTGCCAACCATAGTAATATTTTCATTAGTAGAATCAGTTTCGGGAGGGAAAATAACTCTAGTGTGAGTAGTTTCTCGAATCTATTTCATTAAAAAAAAATGTTATTGCACAATGTGTAACACAATTTCAACTAACTACTGTTCTCAATTGATCTTACCCGTTTAACATTGGATCGTTTTTTGCCAATTAAGTATTTATGAAATTCTGGTTTAACTTTTATATCAATGACATAATTGTGGACCTCATCTACCATTGTTTGAATTTGGGAAATGGCATTTTCGACATCATCTTCAGGTCCTTTAATAACTATTGTCTACAAATTTTGAATTAATTTATTTTAAACAAAAAATATTTATAATTAAAATTAAAATTTTAATTGTTGGATTCGAATTGGATGTATTTTTATTTAAATGTTTTTTTAAATAAAAAACAAGAAATATTTGCATTTTTATTACAGTAATTATTATGTATTTACATAATGCCCAGGTCTGTTCTTCATAGCATACTTACATTGTCGCCTTTAACTGCTGGTAATTTTAGTGTAACATTACCACCACAGTCTTCTTTAATAGATTGAATAAATTTATTACCCAAATTAACAATAACATTACGAACTTTCATATTTCCCAACACGATTTCTTTTGATACGATATCTCCCTAAAAATAATAAACATGATTATTATTTAATGATTATTTAATAAAATTAATCAAAAAAACAAACCATTTCGTTTTGAATTTGCTTTATCATATCACAAGCAATCAAAACTTTTTCTTTGTTGCCCATAACTTTAATGGTATCGCTATCTTCACCTTCACGTGGCAAATCAATTCTAGTATCCGTTTCCTCACGTATCTAATGACATATTTACAATATATAATAGTATTTTTTAAAGAATAACTAAATTAAAATTAATATATCACCTTTTTAATATTGGATCCTCCTTTTCCAACAACAAGTTTATGGAATTGTTTAAAGACGGGAATTTCCATTATGAAATTAGAGTCATCGAGTTCTTTTGCCAGTTTTGCCAACGATTTAAATGCCTTTGTAACGTCTTCATTCAAACCTCGTATTTTTACTATATTACTTTTAGATTCAACTAAACAAAATTATTTGGAACTAATTAAATGTATTCTACACACTTGTAACAAAATCAATTGGTCTCGGTATATGTTTATTTACTTGAACTGGGAAACGTGATTTGTACATTGAATTGTTCTTGCAGTTCACGAACATTTTCCCCCTTTACACCAATTATAGCTCGATGGTGACGTTGATCGATGGTTATTTCTTTTTCAACTTCATTTTCTAATTTGTAAATCATTTCTTGTAATTCCTTGTTATCAAAATAACGTGAAAATATCAAATTATAGAGTGTCTTAACTATCTCGTTTTTAAAGTGACACACATCTAAAGTGTATGTCTAATATGTTTAGTATTTGGTTTATTTATATACAAAATGATTTTGTAAGTGTATCTCTATTTAAAAACAGTGTTTAATTTATTATTAAAATTACTTTTTTAGCTGCTTCTACTCCATCCTTGCGCCCTTCGATACGAATAATATTCGAACTGTTGTCAGATTCCGATATGTTTATAAGTACGCCAGTGTCGTTCTTCACTCGGTTGACTGTAACATATTTTATATATAAACACTGTGTTCTTAAAAACTTTTTTTATAGAAAAACTTACTATTGCTTCCATTCTTTCCAATAATGTGTTTGAAAAATTTTGGGTTAACAACAAGTTCTGTAGAAACGTAGCAATCAATAGCCTTCTTCAAAGAATCAATGACTTTGGAAATCATATTTGTAGGTCCTTCGACAATGATCTTGTTGTCATCAGAAAACTCAACATGGACCTTAAAAATTGTATAAATAAAGTATGCATTTGAATAGGAATAACATGTGCAAGTACTTTTTCATTATCTTCAATCAATTCCCTTAAGTTAGAACCATTTTTGCCAATTAAAAACCTGTGCATCCATCCTGGGCACTCAATTGCTTCCGAAGTCATACTATTGGCTTTTTCATACAACTTAGTTAATCCTTAAAAATATATATAAATGATTATTGTGGATACAGCCCTTTTGTACTGCATTCATATATTTAATTTAAAATAAAATAATTTACCAGTGCCCAAATCCTTGTAAAGGCCTCTCAAGGTAACGGTCTCCTTGTCAGAATCTTGTTGAGGCATTTCAACACTGACGTTTGTTTCCAATAATATATCTTGAATTCCACTTCCTTTTTGTGCCATTAAATACTTGTGTTTTTGTTTTGGTATTTCCACGAAAACTGTTGCAGATTCTTTTTCCTAAAGATTTCAAATAGGTACTTACTTGTATAGTTATTATTTAATTTAATTTTAATTAATTTATCAAGTTTAAAATTTAGGACTTTTTGTTTAAGCCAATGTAAACATTCTATTTATAGCCTAATTGTACACACGACCTTTTCAAATCTTTAGTGCGACGTCCATCAATTAGGGCAATTTGTTTTAAAAGGTCCCCGAATAATTGAATCACCACAGCTCTACAAGGTATTTTTCTTTTATTACCAATATAAAATGCATACCATTTTTTCATAAATTTGTTTAATCTTCTCGATAGCCAGTTGTACTCCTTCCTTGTCACCCGCAATTGTTATTTCATCTCTAGCCACAGATGGTGGTGGAACATGGATCTTGACACCTGTTTCTTTCATTAAATTGTTGAGATTTTCATTATGTCCTCCAGTAATGAACGGATGGTAAATCTTTGGAATTTCAATTCTTTCAAATGCTTTCTTCGACTGTTTTAAAAACATGATTTTCAAAATTAGTGACTATAAACATTTTTATGAAATACTTATAAAAAATTTGATAAAATAACTAACTAACCAACTCATCTGAAATCATTCGAATTTCCTGAACTGCTTTTTCAACAGCATCTCGTGTTCCAGTAACATTTATAATATCAGATGTGTCTTGAATACTTGGCATCTGAATACGTGCACCAGTTCGTTGTTCAATCTCCTTACGGCGAGCTCCCTGTTTGCCCATCACTTGACAATGATGCTCCTTTGGTACTGGCACCGCACTAGTAGCCTAGTAGACAAAATATTATTCAAATATACAAATATTTAGTTATTCTATAATGAAAAAAAAAAATGAATATAAAAAACAGAAATAATAATATAACTATTATTAACTGACAATATAATATTCATAACAGAACAAATATAACATGGTGCGTTAATAATATCAACACAAAAAGATATACACTGTACGCAAATCATTACCTAGTCAAATTTAACCTACTTGTGTTTGAAAACTTGCAATAATTCTGCGTTTGGCTTCTAAGACATGAGCTTCTTTACCTCTCACCAAAAAGGTCAAATTCATGTTCTTAGAAGTTGAAATCTCAATTTCGGCACCAGTTTCTCTTGTGATTTGGCTACAAATACGTTTTGATTCTCCTTCGCCAAATTTTTCACTATTATCTGATTTGCGGTCTTGAACAGAAATAGTGAACACCTGAAATAATTAAAACAAAATTAATATACAAATTAAAAACATTTAATAAATGTTTTTTCACTTATTATTGTTTTACATAGTCTCTCGCAGGGTGGTTTTAGCATCTACTAGTTTTCTTTTTTTACAAAATTCTTATATTGATGTTAGTTCAACAAATTTACTTTAAAAACTAGAATTTTATAGGTTTAAAAAAAACCTCTAAAGTTAAAAAGATGACGAACACGGCCATCACAATTCACACAATTAAAAATTAATGTGTCAATCATTATTTGATCACCAAGTTTTTGATCAAATAAAATATATGTCAAAGAACAGTTTTTCTGTCCATTTGTTTTACAATTATTCATAAATTGTTAAAAAAGATATTGTAAAAACTAGTGCACATTTATAACACGGAAATACAATTTTCATATATATGTATCTGTAACAACTGTGAATAAGTGTGTAAGTCTATTTCAGTGATTTAACAGGAGAGCGATTTTAAACTTTGACCAGATGCCATTAATCAATAGCCATAACAATAATTCACATCTCTCTCTCAAAGTTTTTTTGTTGGTCCAACGAGTTAGACATTTATTCAAGGTGTGCTAGATGCCTTGGACTACATCCTAGCGTACTTAGTCAATTTTGACCAAAATTCGACTTACACACTTTTGTAGTTCTGCCTATTTCTCTTATCCATCAAAATAGTGTAACTATTTTAGCTTTACTACTAAATTATTTATATTTCAAATTATACCTTATCCACAAACTTTATAGATCTCATACTAGTCTTATCTTCTCATTTTCCTATTTCTGCTTCCATATTTTTAATACATCTTATATAACCTTTTTTTTAATTATTTAAATAAATAGTTATAATTAAATGTACATTTTTTTTAATTACCTGATTCACAGTTGAAATCCGAACTTTATTACTCCATCCTTTTTGTGGCGGGTTCAAAGATGCAACATGTCCATTGAGTCCAATGTTCTTGGAACCTACTGTCTTGGAATCCGGTAAAGCCGGAAACACGAGGTCATAGCTATTACCGCCATTACCCCCATCTTCTTGGCTAGTGTTGTTAGACACTGCACGTTCACTTTTCAACTTAGGGATGTCTTGTTGTAACTCCAACATGATTGCTATAGCTTCCTTACCAAACGTTTAGTCCAAATAAAACGAGTACCAGTAGTCTCTCCTTATTGAAACACTGTAAAAAAAAAATGGTTATAAATTTTAAAAATATATAATATAAAAACATCCGATTTATAAAATTAATTTTACAATAAGGCCAAAATGTATCATTTTGTAATATACCTAACGAATTAGTCCATTGCTAATTTGAAAAAAAAAAAAAAACTATACCATTAGAATGTTTAAAAATTGTAATGATTGTTTGGACACAGCGTTACCTAAATTATGTTTTAAAACCAATCTTATCCACATAACAAGAACCAACAGTTAATTTTACAGACTTATAAAAATTATTTTATTTCATGTCTATCACTTGTGTACTCACAATGTTAGAAGCATATGACTTAATAAACTTATTTGACTGTTGGACTACTTAATATTACAGAAGCAGAACTAAGAAGTTGTTCTCTTGTTACAGATGTTTTAAACATAGTATTTTTAACAGGGGTCCAAAAAGAACGCTTTTTTCAAATTGGCTAAGAAACACTAGTTTTCAACAAAAAAAAAAGGACATGTTCAGTTACAGTATGACCTCTGATTTACGTATGAAAAATAATATCATTCGAATGATCCCTCTTGGTTTGTTGATAGGCTTTAATGTGGTGAGCCAAGTAACCAGTTGCGACCGCAACTTTGGCTGGTTGGTCACCGCCCCAACCGACTCAGGCGCCAATGCGCGTCTTTGCACCCCAGGCCGCCGGGCACCTGACTTGTCACATTACAGCCTGTCAACAAGCCAAGAGGGGTCATTTGAATGATATTATTTTTCATACGTATACTGGAGGTCATACTGAAACTGTTCATATCCTATTTTTTGTATTTGTTTGAAAAATAAAGTGTTTTTTTAAACCAATTTAAAAAAAGAACCTTCTATTTGGGACACCCTATGTAATCAAACATCTAAATAAATAAAAATTTAAATATGTACCACACAGGGTTAGTGCAATTAATGAGTAATAAAATATAGTCTTGTTTAAGAAAAATAAAATTAGTCTCAGACAAGCAGCCTAAACTATTATTTTGGCATCGTAAGTGTTAAAAAAAAAATACTGTAATCAAACATTTAATTTATTAATCTCATTTCATACGATTTTAAATTACCTTATTAATATTTAGTACTTTATGTTGTTACTACATTGTATTTCAAGTAGACACCTACACCCGAAGTACCAATTTCATAAAATCATAATTCAAATAATAATATTAATAAATATATGTTGTAAAGAACGCCGTTTTCAATCAATTGTAAACTATGTATATTTCTGGTTCCTCGGACGAACACCATACAATTTATTAAAACCATTTGCTCGAGAGAGCGAACATTTTCTTTATTTATGAGCGTTACAGTGCTGTAAATGTAATACCCTGGGCAAAGGAAAACGTGAAGAGGTCATGAAGAACGTTAATGAAACCAAATAAATGTTAACGAAATTGGACGCGAAGGAACACAAATGGGGTCCAGGGTTAAAAAGCCGACGTCGTTTGATTTCGTGGAAAGCCTATTTATAAGTCGACGTGTCAACCACACTTGTGTTGAATAATCGCACATAACCCCCCGACAAGACGTGTGCCATGAGGTTTATTAAAATGACCAGAGTTATGATTTATGCCGATTAAAGTATGCTTGTAAGACTTACTGAAATTACGTTTGTTGGCTTCCCGTGAGAACTAAATAATCAGTCAGGATTAGGAACGCGTGAACATAAACAAAACAACGAGTTCTTTGAAGCAAAACCGAAACGATTTTGACTAACTAAAGAGCAGCCGCTGTACCGCTATCAAACATTTCACATGTAGGAAAAATAAAAAAAGGGAATTATTATATATTTTTCACCTTTTCACAATGCAGCCAAGTCGTGGAAAATTAAAAGTTCCCTTATTGACCGTAGTTTCCCGTAGTGACGTTTAGGCTCGGTAATTGAATACATTTATCGCGCATTCATCACTCAAAATACATTGAGTGCGCATTAAAATTAAAATTAAAATTACATTTTTTGTCTTATAATGCGTTACATCAAAACGCTATTTAAATTCGACCAAGTATACTATACAATCAAGTATTATGTTTCAGTTGGAACCACCGGGTAAGCGATAAAACGACATTACGTCCAATATAAGATTCGTCTAAGCGCTTAAAAAGTAATAGTAATTAACATTTGCATTTTCGTTTCGACAACAAGATTAAAGCTAGCTTTGTAAAATACCGGTATGTACCGTGAAATACATATCATGAAAGTACAACATATTATTGTAAAATAACAAAATTCATGGTAAAGTATGTTTGTTCTAAGCATACACGTCGTCCTACCATATTGGCAATTGCCCGTCGGTAATAATTACCTAACCTTAAATTTTATAGATTATTTATGATAGTGGGTTATCTTAAAAGATTGATAAGATTTTTCAGAAATAAAAAGTTACATATTAAATGAAATTTTAACTCGATTGAATAAAAAAGAATACAGTTAATACTTATTAGTTACTGTTGGTTAAAAATTACATATTTATTACTTTTGAGTGTTTATTTTTTTTCATTATAAACAAAATGCGCCTAAGTCCTATCCAGCAATTTCGTGATATGCGAAAATATACGAAAAACCCGAACAAAGTAAAATTTGAAGAACTGTTACCATTAAAGTTAAAAAACAGTGTTTCTGGCAAAGGAGACCGATCTAAGGAACGCGCTTGTGTACATGAAATGACTATTATGTTTGCATGTTTCAAGAAAAACGAATTTGACCAAGGTGTGTGCTTGGATGAAATATCTAAATTTCAAACCTGTGCCAAAAAGCATCAAGTGGATAAACACACAAGAAAGATAGCCATGCAAGAAGGAACTATTTCTACAGGACAATACAATCTTACCCCTAGAGAAATAAATCACCTATTAAAAAAATTCCCTAATCCTTAATTATTACCTCTAGTAATAGTATTAGAGAATAAGAACATATTCAGTTATAACTTTTCAACTAAATAAAAAAATGTTAATAATATTTTGCTGTTACTATATATTTGTATGTAATTATGTTTCTATGTGTATGAATCAGTTACTCACAGAGTATTATTTTTGTGGTAAAGAGTTTATACTTTATAAACTAAAATAATATTTTATTTCTTAACTATATTAATACCACAAGTGTTACTTAAGTTTTTCGAGATATATAATTGCAGTTATTGACCAAAAGCATTAAGGATTTGTTGTGTCAAAGAATAAAATATGCACTAGTAAACTCATTTTTAATCATGCGTACAATTTCTGTTCAAGACTCAAGAATTTTTAAGGCTGATGATTGACTCTAAATAGTGGAAACTATAAAAAAAATATTTACAATTTAACAATAATTTCCTATTTAGTTGGTAAGAGGTAAAAATGGTCGTAAAATAAAATATCTTTTAAAAAAAACTGATTAAGTGAATTGTGAAACACTTAATAAGGGGATTGCATGCAGTTAGTTTTTAAGGAGTTTTGTATAGGCAATGTTTAAGAAAAAAGTGGTTTTAATATACTTCGATCATGTCAATTAAATTACCGGTTAATTTGTATTAGCTTCATGGTATTATTTTTAATTTAAATTATTTTGTCTATGAGTAAAAACCATTTTAGTTAATATAACATACATTTTTTGTTCCATCGCACAGGCTGAACCAGTAATCCGAAAAATAATCTGAAAGCATATATGAATTCGTCATGAAATTTACTTATGATCGGTTACTTATTTGATACTTTATTCCTAATATATATAAAACACGTTTGAACATTATATAAAATTTCAAAGTTTAAAATCAAATTTGGAAAGGGTTAAAATTAAAAATTGAAAAAAGTACCCTGACCGATCATAAGTAAACTTCATGGCAAATTAAAATCCGTTTTTATATTGCTTATCGGATCACTGGTTCGGTCTGTGCAATGGAATAAAAATGATGTGTTTTGACTGAAAAAACCGACCGCATGCAATCCCCTAAGATAAGACTCGAGCAGTTACAGATCAAATTACAATACTACAAAAATGATTTATCCTTTATTATATGTAATATAAGTGTCAACTGTCCCAACGTTATTTTAATATTCACACTTGAAAAAAAATATCTCATTTTGGATTTGGAATTATTCATTACTGATCAAGGTGCACAACATATTTTATCCATCTTGTTACTGATTATAATTGTGTACATTATTATTATATGACTATCGATACGTATTATTTTCTTCCTTGAAAATCGTGAACATTTTGTATGTATATTGTTTTGGAACTTGGAAGAACAACAAAGTAAGCAGTCATAGGTTCCCAAGCCATCCTATAGTATTCTATTCTTCAATTGGCATAACTTGGTTATAACCTGGTATAAAAAAAAAAAAGGACCACGAAGGGCGGGGTAGAGCGGGACCGTTATAACCATAGTGGTAACCTGTTATCATTTTGGAATCCATGACCGAATGCCGAACAACACGTACTCTAGAATTTATTCGATGTATCGATGTTTCGATACTATCAGTTTTAGTAATATCAACATACTATTATTAAGGTGTAATGTTAAAATATCGTAAACTTAAATAAATATCGATAAAATAGTTATCTAATTTTTTTTGGCGGGCGGCGACTTTGTGGGCACCGGGCAATGTGCATGTATACTGTATAGGTAGATTCTAAAATAATGAATTAGATTGTTGATAGTCTAATGTCTATGCATAACTGCAGTCTGTAACTGAATGCTGTTTTCAATGAAAAGGTAAACCGTAAATAGCTGTTTTTATGCAGTGAAAGGTGTGAAACTCGCTAGTTTAATTTTCTTTTAAACTTTTGCGTTGAACATAATAACTATACAGATTTCTAAACCTAATACCTAACGGTTCGGCGTCTATGCTTCAAGTAACACTTTATACTTTTTAGTTAACCATTGATTACCGTTGATTTTGTTTTACAAGTTAAAACTTCTTATTCCACTGCTGTAAAACGGTCCAAAAAAAAAAAAGGGAAATAACTCACTTTACGTTACCAAATTTAACTTTTAAGGCTGTGAAGTCTTATAAGGTGTTCATTAAAACGCATTCATGTTATGTTAACACTTTAAAACGGTAAAAAAAAATTAAACCGTTTTCAAAATAAAAAAGATCGCTCTATATAGTTTAAAAAATTGAAACCGTGTTAAACGTATAAACGATTTATCAATTGAACATATAAATGCGGCTTTTTCATTTTGTATTTATATTATCACGATCATACTTGAGTTATTAGTTTTTATTAAACATTTTCACTAAATGGATTTAATAGTTTAATAACTAACTAAGCTAATCCATTTTAAGAAATTTAAAAACAATTCAAATTCAAACCGTTCTAACGCTATCATATAAACATACTGAAAAGGGTACCATATTATAAAAAATGTAGTTTTTTTGAACTGTTCTTTTAGAATAACATTGAGACTACCATAACAAAAAAAAAAATGTTTTGTAAATTAATGCGATTTGGTAAGGATTAGTTAAAAATCATCCCTATTAGAATTTAAAATTGTATGTATTAATTGTACAAAAGATACAGATGTTACTGGTTTCAAACTAAAGTTATAGCTACATAAACTTTGGCGATGAATATTATTATGATTACGAATAACAAAGGGTGTATTTGTACGTTTTTACCTTTTACTAAAACAAAAAATGTCTTATGTTCTTAATTAAACAATTAAGTGTAAAAATTATTTAATCTCGAAAGAATTTAGATTAGAACAACATGTTTAGGACCACCTTTTCTTTTATATGTAATTCACATACATGTTCATGTATGTCTTTTACATAAAAAATGTATTTTTTTAATTTTAAAATTATGCAGTTAATAATTTATACATTTTTTTTCAGAAATTGATTATATTTTATGAAGTTACATAAAGAAATAATGGTAAGATACATTTTTTTATAATTAACTTATTATCATTTATTATTTTGTTTTATTGAGACAAAAATCATTTTATTTTAAATTGTTTTTAGGATATATTTTGTGAAAAACATACAAGCTGTGAATCGCCAATCTCAGTAATTGCCGAAATACTTTCAAAAAATTTTAATGCAAAGTATGTATTTTATGTTGCTAGAAAAATGTTCGTTAAATCCTCATTTAAATTGCTATTTCTTCTTAACTTATCGGTGAAAAGTAAAGAATACATTTTTTTTTATGATATAGGTATGAAATAGTTTTAGAAGAATTTAAAAAATTAGGATTTGAAAAAATAAAGGATTTAGCCAAAGCCACATTAAGTAAAGCCAGCTCCATACCATTAGATGGTGATCCATTGGCTAAACTTTACAAAGCTATCCAGGTTTGTTTAAAATAAAGTATTATAATATAGCGTTTTAAATCTTCTTTGTTATATACACATATTTTTTTAACAACAACCTGTTTATGATATACACACACGATTGCCGGTTCGAATCTCGGCCACTGGCGGTTTGTTCTTTCGGGCGGGCGGGCAACTGTCCAAGGGATGAAATGGCCACCTGCACCTGGGGCCAACATGCTTAGTAGCGTTAGGTTGGCAGCTATAAGCCTAAAAATGCTAAATCTAAACTGTCTAAGCCCCAATCGGTGGGAATAACAGACGTTAAACATAAGAGAGAGAGAGAGATGTTTATGATACACACACAGTAGAATGGTTTTTTAAATTATTTAAAAACCTCTTCTGTAATTACACCATTCTATGTTTTCTTTAAGTAGTGAAAAGCATGGCATATAACACTTAGTTTTTACTTTATGTATTACTACACTGTGTACTAATATTTATAATTGTATATTTCTGTTTTAGATTTATGATGAACATTGTGGTAAGTTTAACACGAATGTTATTGTGTAATAAGTGAAAGGATTATAAAAACTAATAATTGTCAGTTTTATATTAACAAGTTTGATAAATATGTGGACATTTATTTAGGGCTTATATACCAGTGTCACTGATTACACTTTATCTTTTGTATTGGCGAAAATATGGTATTAAATTTCTAATTATCTCTTTTATTATATAATATCAACTGTCAGCATGTGTTGTATAAAACCTTACCAATTTTTCGTTACAAATTTCATAAAATATAATCATGGAATTTATCAATTATTCATTTGCTTATGATTTAAATTTTAATCCAGACAATTACAACGTATAGGTGGTACTATTACAAAGGTACAAAGTATATTTTAAAGATATCTGGATGTGTACACTAAATTTAGTAGTGTTAACCTTACCTAACGTCCTATTTTTCTGTGTATGCCTGTACTCAATGACAATCTTATACCTACTGATAACGTGCATGCACTCTTAACGAAAATCATGTACTGGGTACATGATTTTTCACTATGGCCACAGGCATTCACAGAAAAATGGAAAGCGGGTACACAAAGCAATGCTTTACAAATACACCACTGAATATTATACGCCCGTATGTAAAATATACTTTGTACTTTTCTGAATAATTATTTCACTGTTATAACACATAGTGTATACCCTTACGACCACACAGCTATTGAATAAATTATAAATATTATACTTAATTTGTATTGGTTTCTTTTTATATTAGCTAAACAATTAAAAACTGTCACAATGGAATATAAAGAACACCATTTTACAAGGACAAAGGAATTATGTAAAGAAATGCTGATCCATCAACCCACTAATGTGGATTATTTAAATTTGTTGGGTTTAGCTCATTTTAAATGCAATGAGTACGACGAGGCTTTTACGTATTTAAAAGAAGCATCAACACACAATTCTAACTGTGCAGAAGTTTATAGTAATATAGGATCAATCTTTTTGAAAAAGAAGCAAGTAAAGGATGCACTAGAATATTATTATCAAGCTATTTGTCAAAAGCCTGATTTCGTCGATGGGTGGATTAATTATGCGAAAACATTAGTTTTAGCTGGTGACAAAATCCAGGCATCTCGGGCATATTTAATGATTTTGGCTTATAAACCAGAGTTGTACAAAGTCAGAAACCACTATGGATGTTTGCTTTTATCATTAAACAACACAGAAGAAGCAGAATTACAATTTGTATTTGCCAAAAGATCTGCACCGGAGTTTCCAGATACTTGGATCAATCTCGGAGGGTTGTATTTGAAAATTGGCAAAATAGATGAAGCTATTGATCATTATAAAAAAGCATTAGAATTAGATGGAAATTTGACTATTGTATGGATTAACTTTGGAGTATGTTATGTCAATTTGGGAGAATACTCAAAGGCGATTGATGCGTTTGAAAAAGCAATTCAATTGACTCCAGATAATGTTATTGCGTTAACCCATTTAGGTCATGCTTATACATTGAATGATCAGCTTACTTTAGGAGTTCGTACTTATGAGAAATGTTTAACAATGGAATCTGGTAATGCGGAATTATACTATAATTTAGGTTTAGTCCACTTAAAACTGTTAAACTATAAGGAAGCGGAGAAGTATTTGAAAATGTGCATAGAACTTAATCCTTTGAAAGAGGATGCCTTTAAGTATCTCGGGTCAGTTTATTATAAACAAGGTGAACTGAAACAAGCTTCTGAAATATTTATATTGTTAGGAGATATGTATTTCGATAAAAAAAATCAAGAAGCATCCAGATCATTATATATTCAAGCTTTATATTTAAATCCCAATAACTCTGAAGGACATTGGAAATTAGGCCTTACATATCACATTTTAGGAAATCTGGATTTGGCTCTGTTAAGGTAATTCATTCTTGGAATGCTATTTTCTTTAGACCATATCCTTACAAAAACTAACACGTTTGGTTTTTTTTCCAGCAATAACTAACATGTTTTACTGTTCATACATACAAATGTAATAAAAACGTATTAGTTTTCGTAGGGAAATATGAACATAATAACTTTCAAAAAAAGTGCCGATTTTCACTGTTAGCTTTATTATATCGCTAACATTGCTAGATTGATCTATTCTGTGTTAACATTAATAATCAACCCAGTTAAACAACATTGGATTCTCTAGGAAGTGATATTGAATTTTATTTTACTAATACATTTTGTACTTTTTATACAGGTACAAGAAAGCTTTAGATTTAAAACCAAATTTTCCGGACGCCTATTGTAATTTAGCGCTTATCTACGAAACTAAAGGGTTGACTGAAATGGCTTTACAATATTATGAAATGGCATTACAACTTGAACCGTTTCATCTGAATGCACTACATAATTTAGCGCTGTTGAAAGAAAAATCAGGTGATTTTGATGATGTTGTAGAACTCTATATGAAAATACTCAATCAAACTGATGCAGACGCATTATACATACACATTAATTTGGCAAATATTTTTTATAACGAACAATTTAATCTTCACCAAGCTCTTTATCATTATGAAAAAGCCGTTGAGATTGATAATACTCTTTTAGAAGCATACCTCAACATGGGAAGTATACTAATTGAACTGAAAGAAAGTGCTAAAGCATTAGAATGTTTCAATAAAGCGATCCAACTCGATTCACAGTGTGTAGTCGCTTACACCAATATAGGTTCCATTTACAAAGACAATGAACATTTTCCTGAAGCAATAAAATCGTACGAAAAAGCATTAAGTATAAAACCAGATTTCCCAGATGCGTATTGTAATCTTGTTCAGTGTTATCAACATATATGTAATTGGTCGTCGTATGAAAGTCGCAAATCAAAGTTGAAAAGTATTATTACAAAACAGCTCGCTAAAGACAATGCTCCATCGTTACTACCACATCATTCTCTCATGTACTCGTTTTCGCCTGACATTGTTAAGCAAATCGCTAGCAAGCACGCAGAAGTTTGTATAAATAAAGCCTACAAGGTAGCAAGACGACAAGTTTACAACCATCCGAAAAATTTATCTTCCGTCAGTCGAATTCGAGTGGGCTATGTATCGTCCGACTTTGGTGATCATCCAACATCTCAGTTAATGCAGTCCATACCGCGTTTCCATAACAGAAAAAATGTTGAAGTGTTCTGTTACAGTTTATCACCGAATGATAACTCTTCAGCGTGGTAATTTATTTTTATTAATCTCATTATCTGAGGAACGTGACTGAAGTGTGGTGTGACATCCAAAAGTGGTTCTTAGCCTGGGGATAAAACAAAATTTTAAGTATTTTATAATGTATTAGGAAGAAATCTTTTTTAATGAGGCTATCAATTTAACGTAAGTCACATTAAAAATAATTATAATTTTGTAGTTTTCCTTCTTATAAAATGTTATAGTAAACTAAAATTAAAATTATATTATTAATACATTCTTATTCAGTAGTTTTTTTTATATCTCTTTAAATTCATGTAAAAATTGTAACAAAGTGACATTTTAGGAAACATGTTCATTGCCAAATATTATATTATCAAAAACTTGGTTTTAAAAGAATTGTTGCTCATGAGTCATGACGTTTCCTATATATTTTGGTAGTGTTATTAATAAATTGCTTTTTTTATATAAATAACATTTTACGATCTAATTCCTTTTTTTATTAACTGTATTAAATTTAATGTCAATAAATCGTATTGATAGTAAAGACAACAAATTGATTTTATTGTTATTCTACTAAAATTTGTCTATGTAAACACACAAGATTAGGCAAATGAAAATTAACTAAATTAAATAAAGTTATCCCAATAAAAAAATAACAACTTAAGTTAAAATATTAGTTACAAATCAGTTAATAAGTTTATTTTGTATGTAAATTAAATTTGTATACAAGCAATAATACTTTATAATATTTTTGATAAAATTGGTGGTGAAACTACATGAAATTGTGGTTCTAAGATAATATTGTTAAATTATCAATCTGTGAAAATAAGTTTTTTTTAAAACAATTATGTTCAAAAAACAAATGTATTATGTTAGAAACCAGTTACTTGTTGTAAAACAATTTTTTAGTGCATTTTTTACTTTATAGATTATGTGAATGTATAACTTTAGATAGAGTAACATTTATATTATGAAAAATAATTTGTTGAATTAACATAAAGTAACTAGGTAATTATTAGTTATTGAAAATAATAATTTTTTACTTTCTAAATCGTTAACTTCTTCGTAAGTCCATCTTCCAAAAATCGTTCTTGAAAACAAAAATATTTACTTGAAATTAATATTTACATATAGTATGTACACTAGTTAAATTGTTAATTTTGTAATTTCAGGATTGAAATTTCTAATGGTGCAGATAGTTTTGTGGATATATCCAACATGAATATAGTTGAAGCTGCCAATCAAATTTACAAAGATGGTATACATATTTTGATCAACATGAATGGTCATACAAAGGGTGCTCGTAATGAAATTTTCGCCCTACGTCCGGCACCTATCCAAGTCATGTGGCTGGGTTATCCTAGCACGAGTGGTGCTGAATTTATGGATTATTTGATAACAGACAAGGTGTGTTCTCCTCCGGAGTATCATCGTATGTATACTGAAAAATTGGTGTACTTAAATCGCTCGGTTTTCGTTGGTGATCACAAACAAATGTTTAACGATTTGAAACGTCGTGTCAAAACCGATAAGGTGCATACAACTCATAATGCAATTGAAAATTTCAATATTAATAATTCATCGTTGACACGTGGTTTGCCATTAAAAAATACCACACGCACCGTGTACAGTTTCAAAATACTTTCCGATCTATCCATTCAATGTTATTGCCGACAACAATTTAACTTACCCGAAGGTGTTGTAGTTTTTTGCAATTTCAGTCAACTGTATAAAATAGATCCGGACACTTGGGAAATGTGGATGACTATTTTGAAAAGTGTGCCCGGTTCGGTTTTATGGTTACTCCGTTTTCCGGGTGACGCTGAAGAAAATTTACGATTATCTGCAAAGAGTTTTGATGTAGATGCAAATCGTATAGTATTCAGTGACTTGGTGTCCAAAGAGGATCACATAAGACGTATTCAACTGGGTGACATATTTTTGGATACCCCTTTATGTAATGGACACACAACTTGCTTGGACGCGCTGTGGGCTGGATTACCCGTTGTAGCAATGCTAGGTGAGACATTTGCATCCCGCGTCGCGGCTTCACAGCTAACAACCCTAGGGCATAACGATCTGGTCGCAAACAACGCTGAAGAATACATTTATATTGCAACAAAACTAGGATCAAATAGAAGTTTATTGGAATCAATTAGAGATAATATATGGTCATCGAGAATGGAAAGCAAAATGTTCGATTGTCAAAATTATACTGACGAATTAGAAACTCAATATAGAAATTTATTGGATAGATATGGACACTCTGAACAACCAAGCCAATTTACAAACAGTTCAATGTAAAATTTACAAAATATATTATTATTCAATACCTTGTTCAAATATTCTTAAAAATAAAATTAGTATATTTCCACATGTCTCATATCTAATATTTTTACTTTTAGTATTTGAAAACAAAATTATTAATTTTTTCAAATATTGCTATATCATTTTTTTAAAAAATGTATAAAACAAAATTTTAAAATAATCTGTTATTATATATAACAATGTTAAAGACATTATAGATATTATGGACTAGCTGTTATGGCTTATAATTTTAATAAATGTTTTAGTATTAGTTAATTTTTTTTTTTAAATGTATAAAATAATTACCAGATACCTCGATTCATATTAGATTATCTAATTTCTATGTATTTAATTTAATTTTTTAAGTGGCAAATATCTTGTAAAATGGTATAGTATAGTATTAAATAAAATATTTATCATTAGATCATTTGAATAATGTGTTTACACAGTTACAGCCCAAGCTAATTGTACGATTTTAGTAATAATAAATAAGATAAAAATGATAGTTCCATTTAATGACGATTTTTTGAAAATTTTGTAATAAAAATTAAATTGTTTTAATCGATTTTTTTTTCTATATACTATATAATTATAACCTGAATAATAGTACTGTTGTCGTTAATGGTTTCTTTTTTATAGACATTAATTTTATATAAAGAATTATTTCTTCGATATAACTATTTTCATTGGTTGCAAGCAGTTTAAAATTTAAATAATAGAGAATTTTCGTTGTAGATGTTGTTTTATTGAACTACAATGTTCATACATTTGCTTATCATATTGTAATAGGCTAAAAGTTGTATATTGGTTCATTATGTTACTAGTTGGAACTAATATCAAAAGCGATTATTTACTTAATCTGCTAGAAAAAAAAATTTAAGTTTATTAGAATTAAACTAAACATTTAACAGCAAAATTATTCTAATAATTTGTGTTTAATTATTGTTTTTTTCAATCGAATAAATTTAAATCTACAAGACTCGGGGTTATTAGGAATAAAATCTACAACTTTCTATTTCAAAATCTGAAAGACAAAAATTGTTTTAACTAAACGGGGAAATACAATTAAAATAAATTATTGAAAATAGTAACCATTTTGTCCTTTTCCAATTCGCTTGCAAGTTATAAATAAACGATAAAAACCAGCACAGTGAGGATGGAACATATTGTAATGGGGGAGAACTCGTTTTTTTTAAATTTATTATAATTATTAAATCGCTATAAGGGTTGATAGTCTGTTTTTCCTAATAATTCTTTGCTGTAATTGTTAACAATAAGCAAATTGTCGACAAAATATGTTTCTGATACCTTTGTTGACAGTCCAGATTCATTCACACGTGACAACCTGGAAATTTAATACGGTCAAAATGTGATTTTCCTCCTTTTTTGGTTTTTTGTTACAGAGTTTTTAAAAAAAATGTATAAGTTGTAGTCTCCACTCTTGATCTACCTTCAGTCTAATTTTCAGGCCTCGAGTCCTAAGCCTAAGCTCGAAAAAGTGAAATAATCAAAAACTTTCCATCCCCTTCTGGAGAATAGGGTTTTTAATAATTTTTTTTAGTTTGCCAAGGTAAATCGAGAGTGTTATATCTCAAGAATATTCCAAGCAAATTTGGAAATAATTCTACTATTTTTTAATAAGTTATATTTTTTGGGCGTTTTTCTCGATTTTTAAGGGGAAGAGGTGAACTTTTTCAATGTTTTGCCTAATTAAGTACCTTTCAGGTATGATTTCTGGTAGACTATTGCCACTTTTAGGAATCGGTTCCGTGGTTTGGAAGATAATGTGGGTCCAGACACAAAAAAAAAAAATACATCTTTGTAAAATCAACCCCTTCTCAGCTCTAAAATTTAAATCTGGTATAGTAACTGTATATGCCGATAAATATTGTATGTTTTTACGGTGTACACGTTTACAGTTATTGACAAATTATGTTAACGTGTGAATTTTTCGTTGTTTACAATATTGCGTGTTGTATTGAGATTTTAGTTTGTTTTCCCATGCATGTCTACCATGTAACTGTCAATCATTCAAAAAAGATTAATTATTATTCAATGTAGTATAATATTATTATCATAATATTAACGTTGTACATTCTATATAGTACAAATAATACCTGCATTGTAGTGTAATTATTTTTTTTTTTTATTTTATGACATTATGTGATATTAGTTTCATAATGTTTTAAATAAATATTCAGTGGTGTTTAGTTTTTAACACTTTGAAAGTATTAAAATCTGCTTAGCAGTGTTTTAAAATAATCGAAAAACGAATAAAATTACTCAAAATACTTTTCAAGTATTCAAACTCGTATTTGTATAATACGTTTATCTTTAAAAAAAATATTTTTTTAAGTATTTGTATTTTAAGCGTAGGTAAATGTATAAGAAATACTTTTAAATTTTGTCAATCTTTTAATAGCGAACGGCACACATGCCGCTTTTTAAAGCATTCGATGGAAGCAATTTTTTCCACAATATACTTAATTTAAAGCAACAATTATCTTGCATACTATTTAAAAGTATTAAAAAAATACAGTTTTACCAAAAATGTAGACAGAAATTACAGAGTATTTTTATTTTCTGTACACATGTACAGAACACGATTTTATAAATTTGTACTGAATTTATACAAGACTAATTAACAACAAAATAAAAATTAATCGTTCCTAAAAAGAAATTAACATATTAAGATCCAAGTATTGCCTCATACAAGTATCATGGCTTTTTGTACTTTTGGCTTAATCATCTTCAATTAAAAATGTCACATATGGTCCTGCGAAGATACATAATTACGGCACCGGATTAGAGTATACATTGATAAAATGTTTTTTTTTTTTTTTAATATAAATCTTGCAAGTTGAACTACAACATTTAAAGTACAAAGGCACATTAAATGTTAATTAAAACTATTCTTGATTGACCGTGTATGCAAATCGTTAATCCGACTATCAATCTATAACGAATGCCGTTCAAGATTGATCGTGAATGACCGGATTTAGGCACGCATAATATATTCGAGTAGGTATTAATATACACATAATAGATAGATATTATATTATATTATTATGTGACTGTGTAGACATGATAAATATGTTTACTTTATTATCAGACGCGACCTTTGTTCTTTTCTATTTATTGCATATAAACTAAAACAACAAATAATCCCAGTCGATTTTTATCTAATAATTTTACATACTCGGTATTAATAGAGTAGGTATACAATATCACAGTTACCAACAATTTATTCATTATGAATACAACGTATATACATTTTAGTGTGAAATGATGATAGCACCTACAAACATACACACGAATGTATATTTATATATATATATAGTTTTTCATACATTACCAATTAAAAGATAATCGACTATAAAATCGGTTTGCCGAGACAACCACGCAGTTTTCCTCCAACTGTAGCCAATAGCAATAGCGAACCTGCTTCGATATTGTACCGTGTTTCGTGTTTGTGTACATTGCAGTATATAAAAATGAATATCTTATCCATCATCAGAAAGAAGTCTCTGAAACAAGAGCTCACCGAAGAAGAAATGAAATATTTCGTGAAGTGCGTAACGAATAAAAATATCGACCAATGTCAAATAGGTAAGTGTTTTTTAGCGTCGAGGCGAAAGTTTTCATTTTGAAAATAATGTCTATACATTAAAAGTGTGTTTTCTTGTTAAACGTGCACTTATTAGGTGATTTTTTACGTATTCCAAATTAACCTATGTGGCGTAAAATAGCAAAATTAAACGAAACATTTTTCCATACTACTTTGGGCGGTCAAAACGAAAGTGTGACGCATTTTTCTGCGTCATTGTATTTTATTTTATTTGTTTTTTTTTAATTGTTTTACTCGTACTCCTACTAGACTTTATTTTACCGATGTTTTTGTCTTAACGACGAATTGTAGGAGCGATTTTAATGGCTTTTTACTTGAACGGCATGAGCAACGCCGAGGTCATGAACATCACAAAGGCCGTTGTCGAGTCCGGCGACGTTTTGGATTTTGGACCCTCAAAAACCGTCGTGGACAAACACAGCACCGGCGGGGTCGGCGATAAAGTATCTATACCACTGGTGCCCGCATTGAAAGCCAGTTGTTCGGATTTCGTCATACCCATGGTGTCGGGGAGATGTCTCGATTTCACCGGCGGCACGTTGGATAAACTCGAAAGTATTCCAGGTACATAAGTGTGTGTGATTAGTAAGCTGTCTCGGGACCCAGCCTGGTCAGGAGCCCCCTGGGGGGGGGGGTCGATCGAGTAATGATAAATCAAACGTGTGTCAAACGGTTGATTAGATAGTGTGTCACTTTTCGCGAAATCTGTTTGTCGCGTAACCTAGTTTATTATTATCATAATATATTTTAACCGATTTCGTTCAGTCGTATAGAGTTGTGTTGTACTTACTATTTTTTGGCAATGGAAATAAATGTTAAACTATAAGCAAGTGTCTTTAAATGTATTGCACTGTGTAATAATAATTATGTTAAAAAGTTTTATACCTTAGTGGTCGTGCGGACTACTTGTTATGCTAAAAAACGTATCCACGATCCGATTTGCGCCTATGCTCAAGAGCCAGAGGGATAGTGTTAAAGTTGGAGCATTAGGTTCTATGAGAAAGGCGCAATTAGCAAAAAACCAAAATGTTTTATTCAAAAAAATCTACGACTTCTTTAGGATATTCCGCATTTAACTACGATACAAAACAATTATTGGACATGGGAAATGATTTTGGATGCTTCATCGTTGGTTCGAACGATGTGGCGCCGGCAGATTCAGTTCTCTATCAAGCCAGAGATGTAACCGCCACGGTAGATAGCGACCAATTAATTATATGTAAGAATAGAATTTATATTATTTACCTATTTATTAAGTGCAAATGTCATCAAATTTGACAATTTTGTCAGGAAAAAAAACATTGAGACACGAGTAATGTAGTATTTATGTTTAAAACCTAAAATGATATTCTATCATTATTAGAAATAAGTGAATTATTTTTGTTCAGACTTAATATAGTAATCGGACAAACTACTTTGTTGTATTGCCTACTTCCCAAAAAAAAAAAAAAAAAATGTGTACATAAAAACAAATATAAATACAGACTTTAAACTCTTGAGTAAAACCTAAATTGTATAAACTGAAAGAAAAAGTGACAGTTGAAAAGATAAGAATTCTCGTATAATTTTACCCTTTTGATTCTTACCGCTTAACGTATAACAAATATGGGAGAGAACTAATAAACCAAAAGGGGGGTCGGTGCTCTTTAGGCGACGTTATACACCCCCTCCCCTATTTATTAAGGAGTTCAGTATAGACAATTTTTTTTCAAATTAGTTCAGTAATTAGGAATATTTTTTGGTAGTTAATTTATTTTTCGGACTAACATCATTCTCGACCGGTTTCAAGTATATTTTTAAAATTTAAACATAGAATACGCAGAATACGTTTTGCTCGGTTCATGGCGGTTTCAGAGCAAAAACACCCCGTTATAAAATCGAACGATATTTGTGTAAGCAATATGTAAATCAACGTCCGTTGCACTAATGTCGTGTAATTATATTATCCATACAGCTTCTATTATCTCGAAAAAAGCTGCCGCCGGTATCAAATATTTAGTACTGGATCTGAAAGTCGGGTCCGCGTCGTTTTTCACTTGCGCCGAACGAGCGAGGCATTTTGGAGAACAGTTTGTAAGTAACAGTCGTGGACATCGACATAGTACCCCCAATGTAGAATACTTTCGCTTCTAGGCGAATGTTGCAAAAATGATGGGAATTTATTGCAGAGTGTTGTTGACTAGAATGTCGGCTCCGGTTGGCAATTATGTAGGCAACTCGTTGGAGATTATAGAATCGATCGAATGCTTACAAGGAAAAGGACCGTCGGATCTTCGAACTATCGTTGAAAATATCGGTATTCCATAAGTGGACATCCGAGTCTCGTGCATTTTGTAATTGTACGGTGTGAATAATTTTCAGGGGGTCATTTGCTGGAGATGACCAAAAAAGTGGAATCTGTACAAAAAGGCCGCGAGGTGATCGCCAAGTCTTTGGTCGACGGATCGGCGTTACAAACGTTCAAAAATATGTTGGTAAGACAAGGAATCCTCGAAAGCGTAGCCGAAGAACTGTGCTATGGTGACCCGAAGTCCGTTTTGCCCATGGCCAAATATATAAAACAATTCAAATCCACCACTTCGGGTAATTTTGGACAGTTTATATTATTGTCTTGTACCGTGTAAAATCAATGGTTATTGCACAACACATTCAGCAGAGTCCGAGTCTAAATGTCAACGATTGAAGTGCATAGGAAATGCATCCTCTGCGTTTCAATCCGCAGATTGGTTTGCAGCCATCTTCCATTCTTCTATCTTATCTGCTTTCCTTTTCATTTCTACACATGAGTCACACATCGTTGGTCCTTTATTATTTGTTGAATGAATTCTAATCTTGGTCTTCCCCTGTGGTCCTTTCCTTCTATAATCAGTTTAAACAATCCTCCGTGTCGCATTATATGGCCTATCCATTCGTTTCGTGTTCTGACTATATTTTTCCATAGTAATTTTCCTTCTGACATTCTGTCCATCCAACTTATCATTCTTAACATTCTTTTATAACACCACATTTCAAACGCCTCGAGTCTTCTTCGTTCTTCCATTGTTATTGTCCAGATTTCACTTTGAACTTATAATAGGATAAAAAGGAATATTTGTGATTTTTTAATTTCTTATACAATTTCTATATTGGTTTGAGTAAATTTTGAAATTTTGGGTTTATACATCAAACTTGTACCCGCAATATAATATGATGTAAGCGTACTGGCTATCCTAACGTCCCTTGACCATTTATTATCATATCAATTCAATTTATAGCTATTTGAGGTAGATATTAAATTATTAGCTCCTTGTTAAAATAATGTTTCGTCAAAGGAATATTTATTAATCAGAAAATAGTACTATTAAATACTTGAGTAATATATTTTTTTGATATTTTATTATTAAACAATGAACAGATTATGTAGCCCACAAGATTTTTCTAGAATATTATCGACTTTTTGGTACACCGATTAGATTCTTTACAAAGTATAGACATTTTTTATAACGACCTATTAGTTGACTGTCACAATATTATTATATTTGAAAATTTAAAATATGTATTTCATAATAAAAGATTACTATTATTATTATTACCACCAGCCCTGCTAGCTTCTAATAACGCCGTCGACAGCATATCTGTGCACAAAATTAAGACCTACGCGGCAATAGATGATGGCAATATCTAATATCCTTCTTCGTATTGTGTATCAGTCTTGAAACGTTAAGATTCAAGTTTGTGTGCTGCAACGAGTCGGGTCGGTTTGATTAAATAAATGAACAACAGATTTTAAACCAACGTCGTTTCTTTTTGAAATGCACTTATGACGCTTGTGAAATATGTCATCAATTATTTGTTATTATTATTATTTTAGTAATACTGGAAATGCTGGCATGTTATAATACTCGGTTGTATTTGTTTTTGAAAAGGTTACGTGAAAGCAATTTACGGTAAGACCATCGCAGAGGCTTGCAATAGTTTAGGCGCTGGGAGACTAGTTTGCGACCAACAGATTGATCCCAGTGTCGGTGTTCATGTACTCGTCGAAGAAGGGGCTTACATCAAAAGTGGCACGCCTTTGCTTAACTTACATCACAATAAAACCACACTGGACCAACACATTATCGCACTGTTACAAAACTCAATAGAAATATCGGTTACGGCCAATTCAGAAGCAACAGACATTATACTCGACTGTATTGGTTGATTACACTTATCTAAAAAGATTGCCATTCTAATAAAATATTGTGTCTATTTCACAACAGGTATATTGTTATGTTTTCATTTTTACGTTTACAATAACATGGCTCCGTCCCTGATATCACGTATACTCTTCACTCTTCAGTCCTTAATTTAATTTAAAATGTAACAATAATGATCATACATTTTTTTTTTTTTTTTTTTTTAGTCTAGTAGTCCTCTATAATATACGGGACACCTTGGCTGAAAGGGATAACAAATTGTAAACAATTATACTTGAACAAAATTGTATTTAACACGATAATAATATATATTGTATAATATGCATTGCTTCCCGTTTCTGAAAAATAACATAATATACCTAGTCACGAGTTGCTGACAGAATAACGAATATGTTATAATATTATTATGAATACAAATACAATAAAAGAGTAATACCTACCATTCGGCATTATTCAAATCGTTGCTCAAGCTGATTAAAACCCGGCGTATCATTTTGCTTGATACAATGGCAGTTGTACACACATTAATCGTTTACTGACCTATTAAAGATTAATCTACTTCGTGTACCATTCATATTGTATGTAGTAAAATATATGTAATATACTAATACCGTTTTACCGCTGTCCAAAGTTACATTGGCGTATATAGGTTACTCGAACTAGTCGTCCTAAAAAGAAAATAATAATGAACACATAATATAAAATGTACAATCATATTTTATGATTTCTAGAACTATTAACTCTTTAAAGCACGGTAATGAGCATTATTGACCGCTTATTTTTTGCATGGTGGTTATGACTATGTACCACCTCAAGAAAATAATTTATCTTTTTCAAGGGCGAAATAGAAAAAAATTATTATTATAGAGTGTTACAGTGTAAATAAACATTTATTAATATTTCTTAGATAAATTTGAAAAGTCCCATAACAGAAAGGACCATTGAATAAGGCATAATTTCCAGTCATATTAAATATAGTTAAAATATTTGTATTAATGTATTTTGATTTTTGTAGTTTAATAAGCTGGCTTATATTTATGATACACTTTCTGATTCCATTTAATCTATGGATTAATTTTTATCTTGTGCATTGCTTTACCATATAGTCTAATGCGTAAATGCATGTTATAAAATGTTGAACACTTTAATTGTTACATACCTGATAATAATAATAATTAATACTCGTGTTTGATAACTTATATACTATAATATAGGTGCTGATTTAATTTCAAGAGATAATAAAAACGCCCAAGTGAATGTTTTTTTTTTGTAATTTATTTTATTTTCAACGAAGAACAAAATCGGTTATAATATAACCTATTAACACAATATAATTAATCTGATAATCATTAAAATCACATTTATCATAACGAACGTATTGCTTTATTTATAATATTAAAATACCCTAGAAAATGTATACTTCCAATAACTTAATATCACAATAATAATTCTATACTACCCTATGGAACAGCTTTTATAATGTCATGCACTCGAAGATTATTTCGTTAGCATATAATTACCAACATTTATATGAATAGATAGATAAGCGTTCTATACAGAATGTTGTTCCCAAAGTACCGTTAAATTAAAAAAAGTTTATTCAACAAACAAATGAATAACGATGAAGATCTAAATATTTGTTTTGAGCTTAATAGGTGTGTATAGTAATTAATAATACAATTCAACAAGAAACATTATAAAGAAATAGTAAAAAGTGAATACATTACATATAATAATAATTATTATCTAACAATACATGTTTCGTGGTTAAATTTATAGTTAAATAACGACATAATTTAAAGTGCATTTATGTAATTAAAAAATTGTATACCAAAATTACAACTATATTATAATATTTATAATATTATAACAACTGTTGTGCGAATTGCGAATCCTTAACGGAAACATTACATTTTTATAACACAGGTACGTTAAATATAAATTAATTAACAACTGAATTACCCTGCAAAAAATGATTTGCTTAAAATTTAATTCAGTTCTATTGTTTCTAGACAGACATCAGATAAAGTAAAATCGAAATAAAATTTAACAATACCCATTTAACATCTGAGCACTCGCGGATTTAATTGGTCCAAACCACCTACGTCCTATATTATGTAACTAATGGAAGTCATCGAAATACTTATAAGAAGTATCTAAAAAAAAATCTATAATCACAGCGAGAATTAAAAAAAATACTATTCGAATATCAGGAAAAAATAGATACACAATTTTTTTATTTTCAACTAAAATAATTATACTTAAAAAACTAAAATGTGTTATGAGTTTTACGGATTACGGTGTAGATACTCGCAGACTTTATATTTTGTGAATAAATGATCATATTAGGCAAATATTGTAGACGCCCAACTCTTAACGAAGGTTGTTTTTACCACGCAAATTGTAAAATATATAAGACTCCTAGGGAAACACGAAAACTAAAAAGCCAAACTAGCTTAGGAACCCTTTTGAAAAACATTTTTTTAAATCTGGGTGAGTAGTTGTTCTTTTGGTAATTTCGACAATCCCAGAAAACTATCTTTTCTGTATACATTAGACCTGCAAATATGCATTCTAGGTCGATAATCCTGTGTTGATTGTGAGATGAGTGTGTTTTTCGTTTTTGGAACTTTCACCAAAGGCGGCAGCGGCTCGGTTTCTTCCTTCTGAAATCCAAACTACAGACGAACACACACTTATAAAAAATGGATAACGACGATTCGCAGTAAATCGTTGAGTGTGTTCCGTAAGTTTTTCAACGTATTAAAATAATGCTAACGTGAAGAATTGTTGCGCGTTATGAGCAGAGATAACAACGGATCAATCACAGGCCATTTCGCCCGACTCCAACTTACTCTAACGATACGAGTGCGTTAAAACTTTTACGGACTGAACTATTAGTTTGATCATTTTCGGAATCAATCCATATTGCCATTATGGTTAACTGACGTGTTAGCGTGTACTGTACAAGCTGACGTTTCAGTCTGAAAATGGACCCTGCGGTGGGTCCTAATGGCCGAGCTTACTAATGACACAACATGGATTGATCCGAAAATGATGGTAACAATTTATTCTAACGGCGGTGGACGATTTACACAGGTGGCGTCCCGTCTGTGCACACATCACCTACGGCTATGATTGAACCGTCGCGTCGTTGCCTGTCTATATTATTATTTTACAAACCTTAGATTTCAGACGAGCTCCGGCACAGCATCCGTCGAAGTGACACATTTGCCAAACGCTTTTTCTCTGTCTGGTCTTTTTCCTTTTCCGCAATTCGCGGAGTAGAGTCGAGTATTCGTATTTGAGCTGATTCGCGTACCCAATCGCCTCGTCGCTGAAAACTCCCAACTCCTTGGCCGTCTGGAGTTTCATTTGGATGTCTTTCATCTTCACCATCAGCTGCGGAACACCCGAAAATTCGCGTTAGCTACAGGCCAAATCCTTCCTGACCCTCTCGCCACAGTCACTAATAAACTGACACTGGCCACGACAGACGGTGTCTACTATACCAAAGTTGGCATGACGTAGTGCGTGAAACCATTAAGCCGAAAAATAGACGATCAAACACTACCGAGACACTCCTCTCGCGCCCATTTTCGAGACGACCAGTTTGTAGATGTCACTTACTTCTTTGACGTTTATCGCCGACAAGTCTTTCAAGTGATTCGGCAACAGGGACGCGGTGGACTTTTTGTCTTTGGGCACCCTCCTGTATCTCAACAAATCGTACATTTGGTTAATCTGTTGTTTCAGGTTGTGCAGCAGAGTGTCGCCAAACTTTTCCCCAAACGAGTCGTCCGCCGTGACGGTGACGTATACATCGTTGTTGTACGTGAACACCGAGATTGACACGCCGGTGTTCTTTTGAGGCGGCAAAATGGAATAGACGGTTTTCAGCGGAGATCCTTTGATCACGATCCTCGACCTGGGACCCGACACCCAGCTAAATTGTAAGCTGGCCTAGACACAGTTAAAAAAATACATATCACAATCGTATCGCCTCCCTGTAAACCACGGCTGTACCGTATTATCCGTGAGTTCGGACAACAGCGTTCTGGCCCCCGACGCGTTTAGGGGCATCAAAAGAGAAACTATTGCTTGTTGTAGAGCCTGGTCGGATCGGTACATGTTTTCCATCGCTTTCTTGGTAAACCACAGTCTTGGGATCGCGCCCTCCACGCCCGTTGGTAACACAACCAACACTGGCGACGAGTAATCAGTATTTCCTATTTGAGTCGGGTACACGATCTAAAAACGTATGTATAGTATGCAACGTTCGGGTAAACAATAGTACACCAAAAATTACAATTTACCGATATCGATTAATAAATACAAAAATCTGTTTTAAGTCGGTTCAAAAATGTACCTAGCTGATGTGTTCGATAATTTCGCAACGCGCCATAAACGAATCTATTATGTATCAATGCAATCGATGTAAGCATAATTTGAAATACACACCGTCCCTATTTTTTCTTTTCTTCGCTGTTACACTCTTAATCCCACACAAATAGAATCGGCAACCAATATCCTCCGCCTACACCAAACACTTCTATGTCTTTATTTATTCAACATTCGACCAATTCTTTCTCTCGGTCTACCTCCACCTCTTAAATTCCTCTACGGCTCTACCAATAATAATATATTTTACCTGTGTTATATCGTTTTATACGATATAACACAACGGTCACATTTTCTTCAATTCACTCCATTCTCTTGCATAAATACACGGGCTATGGCTATTACAATATTAATACAAGTGTACATTTCAGTCGTCTTACGTTCATGTTGTTCAAATGCACTATTCCGTTGAGTTTCATCATTACGTGCAACGATCCAGCGACTGCAGACAAAACCACAAAGCCATGTGGTGTTTTAGTTACTTGATTAATTCGGTTTAGTTTAGACAGAGCGCCTTCGAAACAACACCAACTAACGTTATAATTGAAAGACAAGGCATCCGGGGGGGTTGCGTGATTGTTTTTGTTAACAGGGTTGATTATCTTCCATAAAAGCTCTAACGAACCGGTAAATATTGTCTCTACCATGTTCGCCCAATATAGCACTTCCGGAGGATTCTGAAACAAACATTACGTTCAATATATTATCGAACACATCACAAATATTTCAACATGTCTCGACAACTCACTTCGGATACATGGTAGTACGTTTTCGTGTCCGACAAACATGTACATAATAGTTTTGCCAATGACATCCAATCGGCTAAACAACGGTGTGCGACAAATACTACTACAGAGTCTCGTTTCCCGGGCATCGACAAATCGTTTCGTGACAGCAAGTGCAATTCCCACGGGGGTTTATCAATCGACAAACCCCTGGAAACCAGTTTTCCAATGTACCCCTAAGAAAAAAACACAATCAAACCGTTTGTTAAAGAGATTTGTCCAATAAAATGGAGAGAACGATAGCCGGAAAATGGCAAATAGTAAAGAAGGCGACGAGCGAGAGATCAAAGTGCATGAAGACGGGAGAAGAGTCAAAACAAAAGGAAAGGAGTACAACAGGAAAGGAAACAATTATTGGAGTAGACGGGAAGAGAATCAAAATTCAAAGGATATAAAAGGAACCTTCAAGACTGATGTGATTTTACACTTACTTGGATTTGTTTCTTGTCCATTGGGTAATCACATGATTTGTAGACGTGTTCATTGATGTCAAACGAATTTCTCTCGGACATCCAACAATATGAGTTACCGAATACGTTTGTCAACACCACAGGCCGTTCGGTCAGTCGTGTGCATTGTGGTAATGCTTTTTTGATTACCAGCTCTTTTAAGTACCGTAGCTCGATCTCAGAGTCGAGAATGAACACAGACAACACGGTAGACCGAGCCCACGACTCTCCCAACCACCGTATCTCGTTGCTCGACATACTCGTAAGATTTCCTAAAACTTTGAACAATTGTGTATATATAATTTCAGTATAAACTTGAGCGTACACGCGTTTTTCGGCAACAGACTGAGACTTTAAGCAACTCATGGTTATATATATGATATAGTGAATAAATAAATATTTAAACCCTTAACAATAAAAAATAATACACTCTATGCATAATGTTGTCATCTTCAGCACTAACGACAATCGACAGAGTGTATTATTTGTGTGGTTATGGATTTACATATTAATTTCTTTACTATAACCTCGTTGTACGCCTAGCAATCGAAGTAGAAAAGGTGGAGCAACACGTAACCAGCACACAACACATCCCTGAAGATGGAACATAAAAGGCTTATTCGAAACGTTGGCAGAGCTTATTTGTAAATATAGATATAACCTAAAACTATGTATAAATAAAAACTAGAGTAACTTTGTGGAATTATTATAATTTGTCATTACAAACCCAATCCACAAAAATGATTAACTTAGAGCAAATGCGTGTTTCATATTACATTTTTACTGATGATGGCAACTTAGTTGTCGAAGTACGTATTCGCTCTAAGTAAATCATTTTTGTGGATTGGGCTTTTACTATTAAATTAGACTTTGTAAATATTTCAGTGAAATAAATAACATAAAAATAATTAAATACATTTTGGAATGCGCAAAAAATATAAATGTCTTATTTCTTGCGTATACTCTTCGTGTAGATTACCTCCTAAGCAAGCGTATCGGTGAGCCAAAGAAACGATCCATTTGAAGAAAAGAGTGATTATCACGACAAAAGACAATACGGCTATCACTGGTATGCTGATGATGGTGTGTATTGTTTTCAGAATAGCAGCACAAATCAGCCTCCATGTTGTTGAATGTCTTTTGAAAGATATTCTTATAGGGTACGCTTCTGGTCTACTGCCACGCCGTAATTGATAGTACATGTGTATTTAATTGGGTCTCCTAAAATCATAATAGTTTTACAGTTTTTAATGAATGTAATTCATTTTCGTATTGGTATTGGTGTTCCAAAACTGTTGCCTAAGAACATATTTTTGGTATCTATAATTTCAATAGCATTGTTCCTGTTATAGCCGGTTTGGCTATAATCTTGTATATTTCGCCTAACAAGTTAAGATTTTTTTTTTTAAAGAGGGTGAGAGGGTTATGAAAAATTAAATAAATTAAAACACGAATATTTTAGCAAATAAAACATCTATTATTTAATAGATGATCGTTATATCGTTGTTTTACTCAAAGGCCAAAGGCATATGGCTGAAAAAACCAAACAATAATTATAAATAAACAAATACCTAAACGAAACAAATGAGTGAATACATCGTACGTAGTTTAAGTAAAAAATATACATATAATATAATATAATATTTTATATAATATTCAAACAAACACTGTAAACAAATACACATAATTAATTTAGTCAATTACTGATAAAACTGAAACAACGTTATTAATTAATAACAATACGGTAGAAAAAATACTATACATCAATTAAACACATAACGTGTAATGATAAAAAAAAACATTTCTCCTAATTGTTAAACCGGATTGAAAAAACCCGAATTCAATTTATAATAATAATTAACCTAAATTACATATAATATATAGTATTTTGAACGCGATAAAAAAATAATATTTTATATTAAACGTGTTTCTTTTTCTAGTGTGTTTGTCTACACAGTACGTGTTCAAAACATCCTTGTTTATTACTTTATTCATCACTAATCGTATGTTAAGTAGGAAATGGTTCAGTATTGTGTGGTGTATTCTTACAATGTGTAACCCGTATTGTAAATAATATTGTCCACTTAAAGCTGAACTCGAAAAAATAAGAAAACATCATGTCAATATTATGGCAGTACATCTATAGGATGGCTTTCATAAAAGTATAATTCTCACTCAATGACATTTCAACATTTACACTGTATTTTTTATGAATTTATTTATAAATGTTTTCTCTCTGGTGTGGAGTAAACTTGACAGACCTTACAAATATTATCATTAAGTAATAAAACCCAATTTTATTTTTCTGTTTTATGGAACCAAATAAAATGGGATTAAATAAACTGAATTATAATAGACACAAAAATAATGAATGATCGCATAGGCTACAGCTTTGAACCGGACAAAGCTACCTGTACACAGTAATGTATGAAAATATGTCAAAAACGTAAGCAAAAATGAGATTACACGCTTTAATCAACTGATCTATGTACTTTATTACATGATCTAACGAACGGCGCTTAATTTCGATTGTCTAACGACAGCAATGCAGTAAAAAAAAAAAAACAGCAATTCACCACGTATAATTATGTTTTGAAATGTAATTAGTATTTCCTAGATTCGACCCCACCGAAAATAAACAACAATTATATTTTTTTATGGGTTAAGCGTTTAAAAACATCACAAAACCAAATTATACATCACGTTAGAGATAGAAAAGATTTTTTTTTTTTTTAAAATCAATATTTATTATTTATTATGCCTATTATTAAGCGCCAATTAATATTATATAAGATCAACCGTCGTCTATTTGAATAGAATTAAGAATATGTCTTACATTAATTTTTATTTCATCACAAGTGCAATTTTATGTTTTATATTAGTCCCCCAATTGGCAAGTGAAACCAAAGAGTATAGTACAGACTACAAAGCGACTCTGATTTAACCGATAAGTTTTTCCTACACAAATTGATCTGTTATAAGAACTTAGAAGTATAAACTTTTTTTAATAACTTCTGTGTACAATAATTATGTACTATACTAGTTTTAACATGTGTGGTATTTCTTGAAAAAGAAAATATTTTAATAGTTTAATAGTTTTCATTGGAGATTAAATTAAGATTAAATTTAATACACTCTTTTTATAATAAAAAAAAATTAGTTTTAAAATAGTTTTCAGTAATATTTTTTTATTTAACTGTAGCTTTATTGTATAGTAGTTTAGCCGTTTAAACAGTCACCTTCTCTTCCTTTAAATCTGCCACTACCTAAGTTCCATAAATTTGGTCTTTTATGCTAAATCACGTACACCTTTTGTATAGATACAACTTACTTTTTAGCATGCTAAAAAAAAAAGTGCTTTTGCACAACATAAAAAAAATTCTACGCTTTACAGATTGTACAGTTAGACACATTTTGGTGAAAATATACTTTATGGTGTATGTTTAATGCAAAGTCATCGGTGTAAGGGAATACGCAGGGTCGAATATTTTGACTTACTAGTTTTTTTTTTATTGTTTCCCGATTTTTTTTTTTTAGTAAGATGTGCATTTGAAAGAAAACAAAAATTTCGATAATTTAAAAAATGCAAAACCCGAGGTGCAAATATCAAACGGTGTACGTGCGTAATATTACAATATACATTTACTCGATTTGTGTATACGTACAAATGCAAACAAGTCAAACCAAACGAGGGCACCGGCGACGTGCGGCAAACCCCCTGGGACGTTCCGGCTTAGTCTGTATGGAGCGCACACGGTATATACACACCGTGAAACTGCGTGACCCACATAATCTCTACACTGACAGTGGCACGAGGCCGGAGGGGTACGCGGCAGCAGAGGGTTCATTTTTTTTTTTTGCAAAACGGTGACGTTCAAGGCAACTGGGTCACAGTCGCGATCGTTTCTCGCCGTGCCAGGGTACGCCGTTTTTCGCCAACCACCCCTTCTCGCAGTTCAGCCCCTACCCTCGCCAAATCTTCCGGGGTCAGCCTTGAGCCCGAACGCTTAACGCCGCATGGATGACGATTATCTGCCTTGTAAAAAAACGCGGTCAGCTCTCTACGGCGACCCGAAGGGGATACAAATTGGGGTACATGTAAGAAAATCGCCTTGGCCAGCACGATTACAGTACACCTTCTGTATCACTCATCGGTTCGTGGAGTCACTTCGTGTTCATTGCAAATGTATTTCATACTCGCGGGTTAAGGTTAGGTTGTACGCGAGCGATGACAAATCCAACTTTTTGCATTATCACAAAACGATAATAACACACAGTACAGGTACCTATTACAACAAATCCTCGCGTGTGTTTACCTATTGTTTTACGATTTCCTTCGCCCTTGCCCCCATCTCTATTGGCGTAGATCATATCGCACACTAAAGGCAGCGGATACGGTATTCTATTGTTATTATTATTATTATTATTATTATACGGCTCGGTCGCCGTTATCGTTATTACCGTTATAATTTATTATTCTGTTGGCGAATAGACGAGAAAAAAAAATCGAGAGTGCTCGCTGTATGATAATATTATGCGGATGGTCGATAGAAAAAAAAAAAAAAACATTTTAACAACAGCGATGTACAAAAACCGTTACGGCATATTAGGTACAATAGTATGTAATTTATCATACGCCGTGTACTACGATAATAGTATACAAATTACTACACCATAGAAAAACTATGCAAACGATCAAATTCATAGAATCGAATGATTGTAGCGAGTTTTGTGACACAAGCGCGCGCGGGCGCAGTAATAAAATACACGGTGTTTACAACGATGCTTATGTACTTTATACGTACATCCGTCATCCGCAGTGGAATGCAGCGGAGAATAAGATTTAAAAAACCGATAGTTGAAAAATATAATGTGATAACGGCTGGTAATTATTGACATTGAACGCAAAACGGTATGACGCGTTTCCGTCCAGTTCCTAATTGGTTTTCAAGAGAATAACGTGCAGCGGTCAATCTTGATTGGCACGTCGCCGTATAAGGAATACGCACCATTTAATTTAAAACGGATTACGGACCGATATTTTAGTGGTAGGTAGAAAGGTAGACGAGGCGGGTACGAACACGATTTCGATCTCATTTGATTCAACCTACTTATTAATCTCTATGCCATCGGTATCGCAGGCATTATATTATATTGTTAAGGGCAAAATATTATATTAGAAACGAGATCAATATTGCCGGGACAGCGAAACGCCGCGTCCCACAGCGCGGGTGGCAGCATACGGTGGTCCACGATCACTCGGCTTAATGACAATTATTATTTTACACATACCCCGTGTACAGCGTGACAATAAAATGTCCATAATAAAATGTAAAAAATCTATCTTGGTTACTACTTGTGGACTACCTACATCATTTGCCGTCTGGGATTATACCGACTAACCAGTAGGTACACCGGTTTGATTAAAAAAAATATAGTCGTTATTACAATAATTATTATTTTTATAATTATCTATCACTATCTTTGGTGCGATTAATATGGTAATCTCGATACTGATCAAACATAATACCCATAGTATTATATTTAGTAGTGTACTCAATATATATATATATTTTATATTACTCATTTATAGATTATTTTTTTTTTTTTTGTAGTCTCGACAAGACTTTAAGAGATAGTCTACGAAACGACCTATTTTCATTTTTTTATTTTCCCGTAGCGTTCGTCACAAACGCAAAATATTTGCAAAACTGTAATCACAAAATTGAATTGGTAAAGTAGGTAAGTTGCCGACTATTATTAACACACATTCGCTGGAGCAAAACGCACAAACAATATAACAACACCAACGTTTGCGGTATACTCAATCGTTGGTAAACATTATGCGTTATAAGGTGTATAATGATAATAACAATAGTAATAGACAATAGTAGTAGTTGATGTCAATCGGCTTGAGAACACAAACCGTTCGAGTTTAGATTAACTAATCTAATTATATAGCGCCTTCGCGCTGACCTTTATAAATGCATTTTTAATCGCATATTATTATTATTATTGTGCATATAGTACAGACAGAGACACCGTGTTATATACTAGACAATTACGCACATAAAAATATAACCAAGTACCTATAGTGCCTAAAGCGTATATACAAATACTCTTATGGTTTGGACAATAGCGCGAACAAAAAAAAAAAAAATCATAATACATTATACTATTGTTGGTGTTAATATTTTTATTTTTCGTGTTATTAGATTATTTGATTAAAAAATAAAACACCTACCCGTAAAGATAATACCTGTTTTTTTTTTTATTGTAAACGCATACTACATTTTCTACGGGTAAAATTTGAATGCATTTTTTTTTTTTTTTTTGTCAACTACTCACCCGCATTGATGTGGGTCGGCGGCGATAAGTGACGTTGAGCTTTTTGGAATTTGACGGCAGCACCAGCGTTAGCCAACGACCGAGCTCGCGTACTGTCCTGATCGTCTGCCGTAGTGAACTTTAATTGCCCGCAAAACGCGTGGCGCAGCTTGTACCCAAACGCGCTGCGAACAAATCCGATCGGCCGCCAATGCACGTACCTGCTGCTGCTGCTGCTGCTGCTACTGTCCGTATGATAATAATATGTATAATATACACGCGAAGGATCCACCAAGTGAGTGAGGTGAACAACAAACTTTTGTGGCTTTTTTTTTTTAATTATTGACAGTTTTTAATATTGTAATCGAGAACGAGTTTTTTTTTTCAAAGGTCCAGCAGGAGCCGCTAAAGTCGTTCTGATTGTGCAACAGCAAATTTTAAACGTACAGTTAACTTCACGCTATTGTGCGCATTTAATTGTACACGGGCAAGTATATCGAAGAATAATATTGTACAAATTGTAGGCGTAGTTTGAAGTTTGTTTAACTATCAATTTGCCTTTTTTTTTTTTTTTTAGATAGAGAGAGAGGCGAGCTACTTGCGCGAAAGCAAATAAAGCTTAATACATGGACTTGCCAAACAATTACATTAACCCTTTGTTGTTTTCGCAACATTTTTGATATTATTTTCACTTTACGTCAATACCAACGAACGATTCTGTTTGGAAAATAAATAAAAAATAACACTGTCACAATTTGGTTTCGGTGTATACTTTTGTTTATAAAATATTACAATTAGTTTTTTAATTTCAGGTTAAAATCTTTTTTATCTATTTTATTAAAAAGTAGATTTTCTTAAAAAAAATGTTGAAGAAAATGAATGTTGACAATTATTATTATAAAAAGTGTTGAAAAAATAAAGTGGCCCACGAGTCGGCGTAGAATATAATACTTATAGGTGCAGTTGGAAAAAATCACATTGATTAAAAAATCATATGTAAGATATATAATTACGATTTTCAATTTTGAAGCGTATAGACATTTTTTTTTTTTTTTTTGCATACAATTGACCTGAAAAATTAAGGTAAACGAGTTTTGTGGTCAATGCAGATATAACGATAAATATATATACTGTTATAATATGGTAATAACAATTTTTAAAAAATTTATTTCAAATTAAATTAATAACGCAACTAGTTTTTAGCTCTAAAAAGTAGTTGCACTTGACTCGTTTAATAAATAAAAGATTTAAATCAATTTCGCGTACAAATGTGATCATTGCCAAAACAACCATGGCCAGCCGGCTGTGAAGACAACACAGACTAAAATATGCAATTGGTGTGCATTTTTTAAGTACACTCTTTTATACATCATATTAAATCGGTTCAACTACTTATAGTCTCATTTTCAGACCTTTACTATACAAAACTACACGGGGTACACCTAAAAAAAGGAAATCGAAAACAAATTTGTTAACCATTCTGGAGGAAAGGATTTTTTATTTTTTTATGTGTTACAGTATATTGATAACACTGTGTCCAAAAAATATTCCATACAAGTTTGGAACTAATTCTACTATTTTTAAACAAGTTAAAGAGTGCCGAAATTTTAGGTTAAAAATATTTACATTTTTTTTTGTGTTTTCCTGGATTTTAAAGGGGAATGGGTAAATTTTATATATTTTTTGACCAATTAAGTACCTTTAGGTACGATTTCTGATCTATTGACTTGCTACACGAAGAAATCAGTTTAGCAAGGAAAAAATAATGAAAAAATGAAAATTACAACAAAGTGGTAATAAAAATAATATAAATAAATAATACAATAAGGGGATTATAAATAAAATAATAATAATAGTGTACTGAACAATATGAACGAAATAAACAAGGTATACATATTGCATGGTAACGATTTATAATAAATAAATAAACAATAACATAAAAAATCAATTAGGAAGCTGTAAACCGTAAGGAGGCAATAAACAACGAGGAGAAAATAAATAATAATAATAGAAAAGTACACTATAACGACAAGAATCAAAAAAGTATCATAAGTTTCTGTCTGTTACTATATTTTCTGTCTATGCAGATTTTTTATTTGTCGATGAGCAACTTGAGAAAACACTTGTGGACATATTGGCATTGCTTTGAAATTAAATACTACATTATAACTACGACCAAAGTTCAGTGCACTCACACATATTTGTATGAGATCTTATAACTATATAAATAAAAGTTAATATTATGTCATAGGTACACCGTACCTATGATCTAACGATCTACAAAATAATAATATGAACGATTATATATCCAGTTTTCTCGAGGGCCACAATATTTGTCAAATCATTTTAATACATTTCTCGATCATGTACATACCTATTTTTAGGTTAAAATGTTTTTAATTAATTACTAAATTATTAAAATATATACTTACCTATCTGCGGGCTGCGGCAAGAAGGTTGAACGTCACGTTTTGGAAAACAAATTATTATTATTGTCGCTTTTGCCAGATAAGCTTGGAAAAATTAAAAAACTTATAAAGAGTTTTGTACTCAAAGCCTTATCGAAAATAAAAACTTAAAGAAAAGTAAGATTGGCCATTTTTTGTATAATCCTCTTAAAGCTAGATCAGAGACAACACAAATGTAAATAGTATTAGGTATGTTTCAATACGTTTGTTACTTACTGTAACGTTAACATATCCTGCTGTTGACCAATCTTATACTGAAGTCTGACATCCTACGAGCGATAGAAAGGATTTGATTTCCAAATTGAAATTTTCAGTAGGTACACTATTGATAAGCAGAATTTTCTCAAACTGTAATTTCATCAGGTTTTAGAATTTAGAACTGTTACGACGGTTTTTTTTTAACGTAATAGAAAAAATTAATTCATCAAAGTAATTAGGCTGCGGACAGTAAACGACTCAAAACTAAACATAAAAATACATTAGTATAGTTGATTTGGTCGAAAAAAATGTAAACTTAATAATAGGGACTTTTTATTTTTCGTTCTCACAGGAGGGATAAAATACACAAACAAATCCTCAATATACACTGTATTATTTTATTGCAATAATAGTAATATTAAAACAAGTTTGTTTACACACTATATTAACAACAAAACTATTGTTGCAAAATAAATTAATAAATATTACAAAATTGATAGCTCTCAATTGTTTTTTTCTATAATATTGTAACTAAAAATTAATAATATGTTTTAATAGTAAATACAGTGATCACAAGTCAAGTTTTAGAAAAAAGTCAAACTTAACAAATATTTTTTTCATTTATTTTTTTATCAAGCGTGTGTTTATATAAAAAAAATTCCATTTTTTTTAAATTTTTATTTATAGAGTAAACAAAAAAAGCGTAATAATAGGAGAAACAATATAGGGGGAATGTGAGCAAAATAATAAAAACGACAATTGTTCGTGTGTCTAAAAACAGGCAAAACCCTATTTTCCAAGAAAAACAATACACTATTGAAATTCCCTTAAACAAATACTCACTACAACAAAATTTATCTATATAAGAAAAAAAAAGAAAAAGTAAACAAATAAATATTATTTGTCTATAATATTTTTGACCTAGATTGCGGGACTAAACACATTTGTGTTGAACTTATTACATAAAAATATATATATTTATATATATTAAACGGTAAACAAGTCCGTATAAAAAACAGTTTCAAAAAAAAAAAAAGATAAAATCATAATAAACTTAATTTTAATAGTTTAAACTGGGCCATCCTGGCCCTATTAACATAGTGGCAGTATTCAATGCAATTTTTAATACGAGTGTTGAGAAAAATTACAAATTTAAAAATTTTGTCTTCTACATATTGTATTGTTAAAAAATGTTTAAAAACATGTCCAGGTCTAAATATATGCTGTTAAATGCGGATTAACAAAAATCAATATTTTAATAAATTACTAATACAAATATACAAAATTTTGAAACTACTTTTATAATGTTGCACATTTACTATTCAATAGATGTTACACGCATAAGAAATCATTCTGTATTAAATTCAATAACATCCATTGTAATATTACTAACAATTTAATTTTCTTTTTTTTTAGAAACAAAAACAGAATCATTAATGAATAACAAGAATTTACAATTACATTTTCTAATTTAATAGTGATGTAGATTTAAAAAAAAAAACAATTTGCATTAATTAATTTTATATAGATCAAAAACAATAAACAAATAATAGTTTTAATTATAAAAACGTATCTTGTTTTATGAATGTAATATTATATATTTTGATAAACATAATACAAACACAAAACACATATACACACTCACACAGACACTCAATATACACATACAAACGTACACACACACACACCAAACAAGCAATTAAAAATACATTCCTTATTTTTTTTTTCAAAATTTATTAAAATTTTGTAGATATATATATATTTTTTTTATTTTTTATTTAGCTAATGAATATAAAAACATCTCAAAAGAGAATAATAAACGAGGTAAATTACAGTATTCTATTGAGAGTCTATTGTTATATCATAGTACTTTATTAGATATATTCCCAAAGCCGCTCTTCAGTCTTATTATCCGCGTTCATTGACGTCTGGTCATTAGGAGATTTCTCTTTTTTGCCCCTGAAACATAAAATACATAATTTAATACATACATTAATTTAAAATTGATTTTTATCAATTACTAACAATAGATTTTAATCAATTGTAGATAAAAAAAATAATCCATCCAAGTGACTACTATTATAATTATGAAGAAAAATATGGGCAGTCTTTGATAACAAACATCTTTTTTTATTAATTTTCATTATGTCAACTTATTTTTACATCAAAAATTTGTATTAACTTGAGGATATAACTTTTTGCCTATATTATTTTTTTTTATTGATTTAGACATTTTGGCAGATAACCTCTTAGTGTATCATATTTTGTTATTTACTTTTAAGCACGATTATAAACAAAAATATACAATATTTTTAAAAGTTTTAAGTATTTCTTTAACATTTTAAAACATATTTTAGCATTACTTAAACATGTTTTTCTTAGGTCAGAAAAAAGTGACTGCTGGTTTTTTCCCTGTACCCTTCAATTTTTTCATCTTTCCTCATTTATCAACCGAAAAAAAAAAATAATCCAATCACTCTACTACTAGATTTTAAACGAGTTTTATAGCTGCAAAAAATTGACACAAAAGAATCGTTACATTGTAAAGACGGTCGATTATCCTTTATACATTACAAACAAAATATAAATTATGAAGTGGTCAAAACGCAAATGGAATTTTTAATACTCTGAACGTATGAGTAATCTTAAATGCCATTAAATAAAACATTTTGAAAAATAATTACCCGTCTATTGAAGAAACAAAGTTGACAGACTGAGGGTGGCTTAGAGAATTATTTGATGGAACAATAGTTTGATCCGAGAGCGTCAGATCGGAGAGTTCATCACTAAGTGAGTCTAATTCTGAACTATTAGACCGACCAGATTGCCTGTCGGGTCGTATAGGTATTGTCTGCACACCAGGTTTAATAGTTGTATAATCACAGCTACTATCCGTTTCATCGACAGCTTCATTAGATTTTTGACAAAGCTGTTCACAATTTGAAACCGAATTGTTACGCTTTTTGTCTTTGCTACGACTTTTCCAATTCAGCATCTTGAATATCGGAGATGTACTCGTCTCCCAAACGTTAACATAATTTCGTTTATTTGACTCTTCGAGCAACACAACTTTTGTACTAAACAATTTAAATTTCACATTAAACCCTATTTTCGATTTTTAATAACCACAAAATATTATCAAATATTTAATTTTCGATTTTTTAACATACTTTTCAGAAGTTAAAGGCTGACCAGGTTTCATTATTGTGTAGCTATCTGAAATTTCTACACCTGGATACTCAGACACTCTTTCTAACGTGGGTGAAAGGTAAGCGTGTGCCGAAGGAGGTGATCTGGATATTGCATGTACAGCTCCAGAGAGTGCTCTTTTAATATCTACAGAAGAAGCAATTGATTTCGGAGGTGATCGTCCAGTGGAACGATGGGTACATGTAGTGTCGGGTGACGGACAAAGTTTAGGTGAAGATCTAGGAGATATTTCCGCTGGTGTCTGAACAGATAGGTTGCGACATGTAGCTGAATAATGCCGACGAAATTTGCCATTGCGGCTAAAATCAATTTCCATGCGATCGCCACTATCGCTCTGTTCAGACATACTGGTTGATCCAGACTGATAACCATTACGCACCAGTCCAGTAGGAGGTAATCTACCACGGCTACCAACTGAGAACGCACGTGTTCTTGTGCGATCTGACTCGATCCTAAAAAATATGCGCAAACATATTATGAATATCAATCATACATTTTTTTACATCTATATTTTTGACCCGTACATAACAGGATTTATAATTAAAGGGAAACCTGGTTTATATAGTAAAAATGTTCGAAACTTAATTAATTAAAACCGTATAATATAATAATTACAAAATTAATGTATATTAGAACTATTAAAGAATAATATACTCATTAAGTTCGAAAGTATTCTTATTATTGCTTATACAAAAGGTATGTTTCCGCGGCCATCTAATAGACTTATTAACATTTTAATGTGGGTTTCTCAAAAACTTTTATTCAAACCCGAGGGAATGATAGAGAAAAAATGACTGATCAATTGATTTACTTCTAGTATTTTATATAAGAGAGCATTAAAATCTGCATTAGATGATCTAAAAAACAAATTTTTTTTATTATTTCTTACACTATGTTTTTACGTATGTTTACTAAAATTTAAAACATTTTTAATCTAAAATACTGAATATTACACAATGCCTACAATTATCAAAATTGTCAACTAAGCAACCAAACCTACAACTTTGACAAAAATACTCAACATTTACCTTTTTTCAAAGTTAGTAAGCTCCCTTAATAAGGGGAAAACGGGGATAATTAACAATATATTTTCTGAAAGAAATTTTACTATTTTATAACACTATTTTTTCAAACAGTTTATAAATGAAAATAACAGTTTTTTTGTTGTAATTATAGCCAAATACACATTCAACATAGTAATAATCAAAATGTATAAATTTCTTTTGGAAAAAGAATGAAATTCTTTAGAGCGCATTGAATTCATATTGTATTTGCTAAAATAATTATAAGTGGAACTCCTATAATACAAAGTGTTAAGAGGAACAAACACAATTTGTTGTTTAGACATTCGTTAAATCGATTTTTAAAGTTATTTTTTTTATTTTATTAATTACAATACTTGATTTTAAAATACGTATAATATAAACATGTGTACTTTTTTTAATAAAAATAATCAGCGAGTTTTGATTGTTGTATTTTTATAGATGGGGTAGTTTTATCAAAAAATGTCTTGCTATAGTAAATGCATCCAATATTTCATATCAGTATTAGCGGGAAATTATTAAGACTATAATGTACAAAAGTAGAAATAAACAGGTTTGCCTAAATATATATTTTGATTTATTTACTTGTCAATTTTCTCCCGTAAGCCATCTGGTCGAGATCCAACGGAGTAGGCTCTAGTTGGTCTTTCAATTGGTCCTTCGTCTTCGGACGGAGTTAAGTACGCACATACTTTGTCTAGGTGTATATCCGAAAATCGTATATCTGTAGAAGGAGTTCCAGATTCAATTGACCCTTGTTTACAACTCATCGGCACATAATCGTACGTTTTGCTTCCCATCGGAGCCATAGGAACATAGCCTTCAGGTAGAGTGCATTCTGGTTGAGACCCATCGACCGAATCTAAAATATCAACAAAATAATATACTTTTTCTAAAAAAAAAAAACATGACTTTTTAAAAATGTTTATAGTGTAATGTTTACCTTGCTTGGAATTACTTCGTCCGCCCATTGCCATATAATTATTACAAACCGTAAAACCCGGCTTCATCGGAAGGTAACCATCTGGAGGTGGTGATGTTTCCGGTATACCTGATGAATTAATTATTAAATATACAGGCACTCTTTTGTGATTACAAAAAAAAAATAATAATAAATTTACATACTAGATGAATTTAACGGTGTATATGATCGATCATCCAAGTTGATTGGTGAACCATACGGACTATTTGAATCACAACAGGAACCAGTCTAGTAAAACATACAAAAAATATACATACATCACTAAGATCAATATCAATGTATACTAATAAAAGCTAAAAATAGAAACTATAAAAAATTAATTTTGATTTTATAAATCCAAAAGTATACAATTATTTTGATCAGTATTTTAGAAAATTTAGTGTGTGTCTTAGTATATGACAGTTGAAAAATACAAAGAATAAAAAATATATATATTCTGTGCAACGATTTCAGAAATAGCAAAACCACAGACATAAAACCAAAACTTTCCCAACACATTAAAGCTAAAACTTAAATTATCTAAATTTAACATTTTAACCACGGCTTACCTGAGAAGAGGAACTCGATCTATTGCCAACTATGTTATTGTTTATCAGATGAATGTTATTATTAACATTACTGTCAGATATTTGTCTAATAGAATCTTCTTCTGTAATAAAAAAAATTATAAACATTAGACATATATCTCAAATTAAATTTAAAAATATTTACATTAACAAAAACGAAACGATTAGGGCTATAGTGCTATGATTTAGTTATAAATAGTAAAAACACGACCGTTATAAAATATTTTTAATTAAATATAAGATTTTTGCAAAAAAATTTGTTTTTTTTTTTGCCAAAGACCTAATTTTCAATTAATGAACAAAGCTTCAAAAAAGGCAATTTTTTCTAACATAAGTAAAACTTCTCTGTATTTTAATTTGAACAAACTTAAATAACAAATAAAAAATAATTTAAATAAATTTCCAATTTTAACTCTACATTTTTTTTTTATTTAAATAAAATCAAATACTCAAATTTTTATGTAAAATAATAAGTTATTCAAAACAGACAAATAGAAATATGTTTAAATAAAATATGATGTGATATTAAAAATAATAAACTACTTTAAATAATTTATTATTGTTTAACTAATTTAAATTTGATTATTTGATAATTTTCATATTTAAATTGCCTAGTTTTGCCTTTTTGCCTTGATAGAATTTCAATTTCAATAATTGTATTTATTTCTCTAAATTTTCAAGACTAAATGTTAATTTAATAAATTCATTTATAAATTAAAAGTCTAAGATTCGATAGTAAGAAATGTAGACATAATAAATAAAGGTACCTCTGTCTAATGGTGTATACGAAATAAAGTCTTCTTGTTTTTCTTCAAGTATAGCTGACCGTTGATCGCTAAGACTTGTGTAAAATGGAGAAAATCCATCGGTAGCGTCTGTAGATTTTGAAAGTGTTGAATCCCAGCCACCCAGACCAGAATCGTTAAACCTAAATTATTAATAACATATTTTGTATTATTTGATATTATTCATTATCATTATGTGTAAATAATCAATACGAGACGCACGCTGGTGACGATGAGGAAACACAATTGCAACCCTTGTGGAAAGTTTGTTTTGGAGATAATACGCCATTGTATGACCGTGTCGAGGAAGTTGTGTTTTCGCTTATAGTTCGAGGCCGTAAAGGCATACTATCACAGCGTTCTCGCACAGATCCTAAAATTTACAATGTTATTAAAACTAATTAAAATAATACTACTTTTCATTTTTTAGAAGTACATACATTTTTTTTTTATAGTTTTATTTAAATATGGCACCCATGGAGCCCATAATTCTTTAACCCCATTCAAAATGCACTAATCTGCAATTTAATTTGAAAGTATGTGACCAAAACCTTGAACCCTGTCTATATAAACCCGTAAATTCAAATATACAATTTTGTGTCGCGTATAATTATTTCAAAAAGACATTTAGAGTCGATTTTAATTTTCGTAAAACCTTGACCAATTTATTTTAAGTGCTTACTCGCAACCCATATTAAATAAGGGCTCATCATCTATTATTCTTAAAAAAAATAAAACACCCGTTTTCCTAAATCCATAATAATCCATTCAGCCATAAATAGCCTCCATAAATAGTATAGGTGCAAAGGTTTACTTCTATTTATTATTATATATAAGCATAGGTAACATAATTTCGTAACATGATCTGTGTAAAAATTTGAATAACCAAATAGTATTAAGTTTTTCATTTAAAATATTGTACTTAAGCTTTTAATCAATTATTTTTATATCAATTACCTATTGATATAATTTGTATTTAATTTAGGCAAATTGTAAGTTATTTTTAAAAAAATGTACACAGATTGTATATGTTTTTTGTTAATTTACAACTCAATTTATTTAGTGAGCAAGTTGATCTATTATTAAGGTTATCAAATGACATAAAAATCAATCATTATGGATGTATATTTTATGTATTCAATTTAAACTACAAAAAAAATTTTAAAATAAAGAAAAACATTTTACTTTTTAATTAACGATTAAAATTACCTGTACGTGCTAAGTCTATATTGCCATTACTAAGCATCGAGGAACTTTGACTATTGTTTTTATACCGTAGTCCGGGATTATTCTCATCTAAAGTTTGCGATAAAAGATATTTAATAATAGTTTCGAAAATAATTTAATTTGCTATGAACCCACCATAGATATTAGGGCGCGTTCTCGAAGGACACGTTATCATTCGTGATCCTTCATTGAACGACGATGACCTCAATCTAAATCTAAGGTCATGAGTACGACTCGATGCTCCCATTATTGTCTGGTGTATGCTGCTCGACACTTCCGAGTCCCACGTGTCCATCCATATATGTCCGGCACCCAATGGAGAACTTTGCCCAACTTCCATATAAAAAAATGTATCAAGAGCTCCACATCGTCGAATGCTTGTCAACTGAATATGTATTTAATAGAAAAAATGTTAGATACATTAACATTTGTAACAATTTACATATATATATATATATATATTTTTTTTTTTACCATTATGTCAATAGTTTTTTGTTTCTTTGATCTAGTCGGATACTTCATTATAGTTACTTTTTTGTCGCATAAACAAAGTCCAGTCATTCCGATTAAACTAGAGTTTAGTCCCAATTCCTTTTTCAGTATAGATATGTGCCAAATGTGCTCTAAAACAACAGTATATTTTTTATTATAGAATTGGTTTATGTAGTAAAATTAAGGAAATAAGGTACATACCGAAAGCATCTTTAGACGATTCGCCCGTCTCTAAATCTTTATTGACGCGTTGCAGCACCAACATTAAGTCTAACCATTCTTCGAGTTCTTTTTCAGTATCAAACAGAATACAAAAATAGTTGTCTTTTGTATACAAACTCAACACGTTTTTATTGCGCGCGTCTGCACGTTTGTCAATATTAAAACAAGTCTTCAATACAATTACCCTAAAACCAAACCGTAATTAATAGTTAAAGAAATGTTATTAAAAATATTAAACTAAAAAAAAACCTTAAATACCTCTTAGGCAAACAATTAGTTCTCCATTTTTTTTCGCTTTCGTAATATTCAAGACGAGCCGGTCCTCCAATAGTCTCTTCACGAAGTACAAAGAATTTTTTCCTCATACTTCTCATTTTTTTCAAGTAACCAATTTTTACAACGCCAGCCATAGTGTTTCGAGGCCTGGGACTATCGGTTTGCGTTACACTCATTTTTAATAATTTCTAAAAAAAAATCAAAAAATTATTTTATTATTTTTTGTATACATTAAAATAACTAATTTAAATATTTTAAAAGTATATACCGTGAAACACATGATTAGAAAAATTTTACCAAGAGCTCTAAAAGAAAGGAAAGTTAAAGGTATTTTTAATAAAATATAATGTAATAATACAGTTGCAATTAAGTTCAAAGAAAATTAATTTAATATAAATTAATATGCATTCTAGCAGAATATAAGTTGATAAATAGAAAAAAAATGTAAAAACAAGAGAAGGTGCAAGATATTTTAGGACTGTTTAATATTTGTTATCATAAAAAAAGCCAATAACAAAGCCAGTGGCAAATGGGGATTTCACTGAATGGTAAGATATTAAAATCAATGATTGTTTATCAAGTTGTATGTACCTATCAGAAACCAGCGAGCAAAAAACTATTATTAGAAAGCATCGTACAGCTATTTATGTAATAAGCTATAAAACGACTTAATTTTAATCTATCACATTACCAAGCGCAATTTGTTTTAAACTAATATTGTTCTATTCATTTTTTCTATTAAATTATTTTTTTTTAATAACTACTGTTTAGAATTTATTATTTTCGTCCATTTGTAATTAATAAACAACAGAATAATTTGCATGGAACTACTTTATTTGGCATGGCGGTAAATTTTAATATGTTAAATGTTTACTAATAGAAATAATAATAATGGGATTGAGGTGTAATTTTTTTATTTTTTTTTTTGGTGACAACAAAGTTATTAGCAAAAATATAATTTCTAAAAAATGAAATACACTACTAATGTTGAAATTAAAATAAAAAAATATGTTAATCAAATTATTTAATTAACAATATTATTATAATTATATAAATCGCCAGAAAACTTAATATCAAAAAAAAAGTTTTACATTAACATATATCAAAATTATCAAAAGAGAATTTTTAAAAACTATCATTACTTGTGTACTGATTAAAGTAATCGATAAAAAAAAAAGGCGGGGGATATCGCATACATAATAAATATTGTTACATTTTATTAACGTATTATAAAACGTGAAATATGTTTTAAGTATACTACATTTATGCATTAAAAAATATATATTTAAATTACACTATCACTTTATTACAAGATCTAATATAATCTAATAATATACAAGAAAACTATATAAAGTATCTAGTTGTAGAATAAATCAAGCATTTCAAACATCTATCGTTTTACGATTAAACAAAATTCAAATCATTGAGGAAAAAAACAATGACAATAAACACTAAAAAAAATACTATGAACTATAAAATATTATGTACAATACTATGATAGATATTTCATATTCCATAAGTCATAATAGAAAGTCTAATGATGATTATTGGAAAGAGATGTTTACTTGTTAAGTATTATTTTACTAAGAAGTAAAATTTTTCAACGTGTATCCTAATATCAATAGTAATATTAAAAATAACAAAAAAAAATAGTGAGCAAAACAACAAGGTACAAAATACAATAAATTACACATATGTAAACAGAAATGTTGATAAAAATGTATATTCATATAATCGTTGCTATTTTAATAATTATTTCGAGTCTATGAAATTGATATACGTGTACACATTGTAAAGTAAGATACGATTCAACTCATTGCTAAGATACAACTAAACGAGACGTTTACATCTATACATTAAATGGATATCAGCAATATGTTTTTATTAAATTTTAAGAAAAGCAAGATGGTCTTCTTGTAATTTTTATGACGACACTATCAGCTAACCATAAAAATATTCAATAAAAGCAAAACCATTCAAAATTCTATAAAAAAACAAAACACATTTTAGTAATAACATTACACACAATCGACAAAAGCTCTCACAAAAAAGTCAGCTGTAATCATAATAATTATATTATGCAAAATTATTTTGTTATCACACATCATCAATATTGTGTAGGATATTATGATGTTTATGCGAAAGTTTGTGCAGCGATACGGAAAATACCTTATCGCCAAACATAACATATTGTACCCAAAGGGCCCAAAAAGGTTTTTTTTTACTTGCTTTAACATATAGACATTACATATACCCTGTATGATCACCTTCTAACAGGGAGTTACATAACATCTACGACCGACTCCCCGCGGGTGCATGTGTCGGCGAGCCCAAAGAGTCTGCGATAAGCAATTTACACCCAACATTTGGGAGCTGCAGTACACACGATTACTAACAAGTAAAACCACTAGTCGGGCCTAGGTATATTATGATAGCCATTCAAGAACGAGCAGTTGTGTCAAGGGCATGCACTGTTTATGTTATTATCCGTTTGTCCGTTTTTTTTCTCTATACACAATTGCTCGCAATAAAATAACACGCAATAAACACATAACTACTTGCCTGGTATTTCCTTTCGCGTACTCGTGTGAACTCCGAACGAATTTGAACTATAAATTGACTAGAACCAATTGCATTATTATGCATGTATATACCGTCGTCGTGTTCAGAGATTATTATCTCGAAGGGGGCAAAAAAAACACACACACACACACACACGAGCAAAAATTGATTAAACGTTTCGAGAAAAAAAAACCAACTGAAAGAAAAACCACTAACAAAAAATATAAAAAAATCAACCGAGAAATAATAAATATTTATATATAATAATAAATAATATATAAATATATCGGTATATTATGTTGTGTACGTATTTTTTTATTAGAACATAAACACGACGCACACGCAGACAAACGGTCTAATGACAATAATATATATATATATATATATGTATTATATGAATATATATATATATATATAATGTTATAGACGGGCAATTAAAAAATGTTATGTTATAATATAGCACTGCGGGCAAAAACAACACACGGCGTTTATGATAATCCCGAACATGCTGGCACGGCAAATGGGGCACTTTGAAAATCTGTGGAAACCCTAAACGACACTCGCCACTGTACACACGCTCCGCACGAAAACACTGGCACCGACGACCACGACGATTTAGTTACCGTACACACCGTGTCATTATTGTTAATGGAAAACATTTTTCGCGGAAAAGTCATGTGGATACGTAAGCGCCACTGTGTATGTGTATGCGTGCGTGTGTGTGTGTGTGTGTGTGTGTGTGTGTGTGTTATTATTTTGTGTGTGCGTATATGTGTCTGTGTCTGTGTGACGATTAATCAGCGCGTACTCCTATAGATGTAAACAAGTGGCGCGCATGCGCCCGCATCCCCGCCTTCTCCGACGTATGGGTCATGTTGACCGTTGAACCGTGCAAACAACAACAACAAAAACAACATTTTTTCCATAGCGCGTCGTTATACACTCGTATATACATAAAGTATACACGTATTTATTATTATTATATATATATATATATATTATATACGAGTACGTATGTATGTATGTGTGTGTGTGTGTGTACAATTCTGTACAATGTTTTTCTTTCTCGAAAAATCATCGTCTCTTCGACAAAAACACACGAGGCGGGCAACCTACACGCGCGCCGTCGTTTTCTTGTTCAAAAAGTTTCCGCTTAACGTCTCGGCCCCCGTTTGAACTACGAACCCGTGTACAATAGGATGATTAAAAATATTATTATTACATTGCCGTTATCATTACGCTTTTTTTTTTTTTTTTTTTGTATACGAAAAATTCGTTTTTCTACTACGACACCGGCGGCGCGTATCCGACAAATCTGGCGGCCGCCCCGTTTGGGTGGTATGTGTGGGCGGTGGTCGAGGGTGAATTCCACGTTGGAATCACGTTGCGTTGTTTTGACGCCCTCGTAAAATCGATAACGTGCGCCGCCGCCGCCGCCGACTATATACGTCGTGTAAAACTGGGTTGGCAAATTGTGATGGCAGACGTTCCATTCAGAGTACGGCGCGGAGGTTGCGCCGCGGTCCGACACGACTCCGGGCCGTTTTCTTGGGGTTTTTTTTTTTTTTTTTTTTTTTATTCAATAGGACACGGGGAGTACACCGGCGGTACCCCGAGACTATCGATTATTTCGACCCCCTATGCTCTCTCGCGCTATCACAATACAAACGCACGCCCATGTCCATCGGTCTATGCGGTATGGCGGAAAAAAAAAAACAGGACCTTGGCCGCCGCCGCCGGGTAGTAACGCACGACACCCCCGGCGCGGCGGCAAAAATCAGCCCTACGCCGCAAGCAAATGCCGGTATCGGCGGCCCTTTAGGAAAAAAAAACACACACACCTCGACAACGCTATGTGCGCGTTTAACGTTAAGTCCATGGAGCCCGAAAGTATACACTCTAAAAATAACCTCTATGTACACTTGAAAAATTTTTAGAGTGTATACACTCTAAAAATAACCTCTATGTACACTTGAAAATTTTTTTCATTTTTATTTTTTTTATTACGTAAGACTAATTGTAACCATAAGGTCTACGTCATCAAATTTGTATTGTACAATACTTATTTTATAAATTATAAAAAATCTCTTGAATAAAAACACAAAAAATTTAGGTACAAACAAAATATTAAAAAAACTTTTTCCTTTTTCATCTGATAATTTTAATTTACGGTGTACTGCAATAATTATAGTATACCAATAAAAAAAATATTGGTGTACGTATAAAGTTTAAAAAAATATATATTTTTCATATTTTCATTATATTATTGGTACTTTTACATAAAACAAAATAAAAACATACAAAATATGCTGCAAATATTGATGATATTTTTAAAAAAAATTGCATAAATATGAAAAGATCCGGAATTATGCTAAAATATGCAAAACGATTTTTTTAATTTGACTTCTTTAAAATGTAATTCGATTTGTAGTTTGTCTAGCAATTTTTTTTACCGTTTAGGAAAAATATGCAAATACATGAACTTCTAAGACCCCAAGTTGTGGGTATTATTTTTATTTTGTAGTTTTCGGGAACGGTACAATACGGCCAGACAGTTTTTTTGGATTCTTGCCCACGTGGTTTTGATGGTTCCGAGAGATTTAAATAGACGTTATACGTTTTACACGGAAGTGTTGCTCTAAGTCTATACGCGACAAAGCTGTGCAAGACGCGTACATTCAAGTATAAACTCCAAATACTTTTAAAAATTAATCATTTGTCTTAATACTCGATTTTAAATGTTTCAGAGACGACCAGACAGAAACAAAAACAGTCGCTGTTTCAAAATATTTTTCCTTACTCGTTACTCTTTATAATTTCTTACTCTTGGAAATGTTCATAAATAAAATGCAACTTTTATTACGGTAAACAGCCCGCCCAACAAGGTCGTTAATGCGGCACAGTACACGAATCAGGCACATAAGTTAAACTAGTATTTGCATATTGATTTCTATTATTAGAATATTAAAAAAAACAAACTTTCATAACAAATGTTCAGTCGCATAAAAATTATTATTATAATAACAAAAAGTTTATGTAATAAAATAAATTATAAACAATTAAAATCAGTAAGTAATTAACACACACTCATCACGCGTGTCGCATGGTACTCTAAATAATGCCGTAAATAGATAAATATGTATCTAGAAATATTTTACACAAAAATATTTTTTATTACAAAAGTAAATAAATACGATTTTTTTTGTTAAATACATTTTTTTATTTTAATATTTTCATCAAATAATTATTTTAATGAAATTATTCTTGTAAATCCGAATTTTCGTCACTTTCAAAAAATAAACATCTAAAAAATTGTGTTTTTCTTTAGGTTAATTATTTAGGCTGTGTTTTAAAGTCCAGCGACATTTTGTATGCTTGATATAATAATTGATGCTCCAATTGCATTTATTACGATAATAATTATACTTTATAGATTAAAGAGAATAAAAGTTTTTAATAAGGCATATAATTCATAATTCAAACTTTTACAGTATTATATATTATGGTATATTCGTGTATATTATATAATATGTTTTTATGTTATATAATATTAAATATTTAGTTGTTGAAAATAATGAATTTTAATAAAATTTGTTTTTAGGGAAACGAGAACCTACCCTTCCGATTTACAAAACTGAAAACGAAATCTAACAATTCTGTTTTCATTCCGTATACACACATCACCGATAAGTAAAACTGTAGTGTGTGGACCACCCTAAGTTGCAATTTTCGAAAATAATAATGATTAATTTATAATAACAAGAACACGACAGAAGACCAACGATGGTGGTAAATAGCTTAAGCGCATATGTTTAACTATAGATTTATTTATTCTAATGTAGAAATTTTGACTTATGAAATAATGCAATTTCTTAGCCGAATTCAATAAAAGAGAAGGTTATCAAATAGGCTGGTATTTATGTAATAATATGTATTTTAATTTGGTTTCTATTAATAGGTCCATTCGTAAGAGGTATTCTAAATTTGCGTTCGAAATTTTCATAAAAACGTAAAATTATTTAATTTTAAAATGTTACCTTACCATCTCGGGCATCTCTGTTAGTGCTTATTTATTCTAAACATTTCCTAGTCCCGTTAACAACAGCACCCATCGCAGAGTTTTCAATTGATCGGTGTAAACAGAAAATTAATGCGTTTCGAGGATCGACATTTCCGATTGACCGTTCGTCCCTCTTCCCTTTTTACGATAACCTTTTGTTTATCTCCCTTGTAGTTACTTGTAATTTTAGGTTTATATACTTACCCAATAATTAGAATAGAAACACGATACACGTATAATGAATGAAGTAAATTATCACTCGATAAGACATAAGTCCCTATACCGGCTATTAATATAAACAGTATAAATTACGCGCTGTATGATTGATACTGGTCTACAATAAAATATAAGCAAGGACCTAAATTTAGATAAGAGCAAAAATAAATAAACCGTAGCCTGTGAGGAGTGTTCAGAGAGAGCCGATTGTGATTGTAAAATAATTTTCGAGGAAAATTAATTGATATTAACTTGAGAGATTCAGCATCATTCTCAATCTAAAAGTTTGGAATTTTGTCAGTTTTACCTTATTCGTTCGTAATTTACATGTAACTACATCAAATCGTCGTTATGGGTCGGTGAATGATGATGAACTTATAATACATAATTCCTCAAAAGTATTTTTTTTATAATTATTGTGCAAAATTAATTAAAATAGCTAAAACTGGAAAAGTTTAACGCCCCCCCCCCCCATTTTAAAGAGCAATTTTTCTTCAATATTGTTAGATATGTCGAGCTTCTGTTCAGATGTATGAAAATTAATTTGCGACAAATAATTCTTAGTACTAATATAGCAATAGTAAATAGTACAATGTGTCTTCGTTTCAAAATTATTTTTTATAGGGATGCAATGTATTTTCATTATGCATAAATTGTTATTTAATACAAGGCGAAATTGAATAATATTATTAGCATATATAAAATACCTACATGATTTTGTTTTCTATGCTAAAACAATGACTAATACCTCAAACAAACAACGACGTATCATCAGACTGTCACACTATGTTTTTATAATATCTCGCATATGATTAACAATTCTATGTAAAATGAAAATAGATGCTAGTATATAATTTTAGATTTAAATAAACTTATTTTATTGAGGTTTTTGAAATAAAAAATTAGTAGCACTTGTTAAACGGCTTTTATCATTTTTTATTTTTTTTTCACATTTTTCATTAATAGGCATAATAAATTATTAAAATCTGCGCTGGTATCCTTTATGCGTTCGATAGGAACGCTCAATGTCTACAATAAGACAGCTGTTTAATGTTAAAAAATATTTCCAGTTTTGACTTTTGTTATATATTATGTTCTGATATTGAACAAGACAATCTATATAAATGTGAATTGTCTAATATTCGTTATCGAGTTTAGAATTTGTGGTATTATTATTACCCACCATTGAAATAACAATAATATTATAATACAAGACAGGTGTCCTAACTCCTATTCCTATTTAGTTCTCATGTTATACAGGCTTTTTCGAGATGTTTTGTTATCTTGAGCGTACAACAAAGTATGAAATAAATCTCGTTAACGATTAAAAGTAATGTTGCTATTAACTGAATAAATTAATTATCGACTATTGTTGTGAATACGCCATACTGTTAAGCACCTTTGCTTTGTGAAAGATAAACAAAGTATGTTTTCCATTTTCAGGGAGAGAACCGAGATATAAAAATAATTTGGAGTTTTTCATTTCAATTGTTGGATATTATTGTTGTTG